AAAAAAAACACCGTGCAGACGCAATCTTATCGTGAATCTGTGCGAGATATCGCCCGATTTGATTCCGTTCGATTCGCGAGCGCGCAGTGACGGTTTAGGTACGGCGGTGTACGCGAGTGATGCGCCCTAAGGGTGACAGCGCGTTCGGTATTTACGGTTTCGACTGTGCGGTGTCATCGACCGGTGCGGTTGTCTTGTAGTGATGGAACGCTGGCGGCTGGTCGTGAGCGAGTTCCGATTCGCGATCGTCGGTATACAAGTGAGCCGGATCCAGAGGAAGGTGACGGCCTCTCACACGTGCAAGGTGATTGCTGGCCACAGTGATGTAGATATAATCTGTCAGCCCTGTAGTCCCGGGCTCATAGAATAAGGCTAAGGTATATCTCCTGCCTGTCGTAAAAGGCGGCTAAAAGTGGACACGTATTTGCAGCAGCACTAAGTGGTTTCGTGCTGGTGCAAGAGGGCGAGAGAATCGGAGTAGGTTTATCGCGTGGTACCGAGTGACACCGGTGCGTATGTACTAAAGGTGGCCACCGAGGGGTTAAGGTGACTGAGTATCTTTTGAAGATTACACGTACGTAACACCTTGATCTTGCGTATAGTCGTTCACTATTCACACTGCTACCCTTTTACTGTGGCAGGGCCACGCATCAGTCTTCATTCAGATAGGTCCATCCGGGAAGAGCCACGACCTCACAGAAGACCGGCGTGAAGTGGAAGTGTTATACTTGTGCGTTTCACCTGGTGAGTGAGGTAACCGGGGCCCACTTTATTAAATGGTGGCAACGCATCTGAAAGCCTACGGGTGTTGCAGATGTCCGTGGGCGGCCGTTATCTCTTAAATGATGTATTTATTTATTATGGATTACCAACAAAGTTACATATACACAAAATTTAATAAACACAAATACACACTTAGCATCTGATCCACTGCCAGCTCGCTTGTCGCCATCTCACATAAAAAACATGCGGATAGGCTAATGCAATATAAAGTTTTAAACGTATTAACAACCTGCCATAATCGCCACCGTCTACAAACGCCGCCGGCGCAACGGTTTCAACCAGATTGGGGAAGGGGCCATAGGTACGTCGGACCCACTGTTGGTCCGCTAGACAACACTATACCCACTCATGCTAACACACATAGCTCACTCACCAGACGAAACGCAGAAGTGTAACACTTCTCTTCACACCGGTCATCTGTGAGTTTGTTGTAGTGCCCCGGGCGATCCTGCCCATTCGTGCAACGGTGAAGACTGCTGCTTGGCTCTACCACAGACTATAGCGAAGCTGCAATGGAACACGGACCGAAAGCAAAATCATCATTTAAAATATTCGTCTGCTACTATTACTTCGCTTCCATAAGCCTGATAGGTACACCCATTCATACATGCAATTCGGTCACGAGCACCTTGATGCTTCCATATGAAGTAAAGTAAAGTAAAGTAACAGCCTATACATGTCCCACTGCTGGGCATAGGCCTCCTCTATACAGAGGGTATCAGGGCATAGTCCACCACGCTGCCCCACTGCGGATTGACGGACTTCACATATCTTCGAAAAATATTTTTTTTTTGTTATTATTTCGAAAATATGCAGGTTTCCTCACGATGTTTTTCCTTCACCGTGGAGCACGTGATAAGTCAGCACTTAAAGTTAAAAACTTCATTGGTGCCGGCACCGGGGATCGAACTCAGGTTGCTCGAGCTATCACGGTTCTTCCATATGAAGGTTCAGTTTAAATAGCAAAGGGAATGCGGAACGATAAATTCATAGACACAGTGTATTGGTTTAAAACGATAAAGTGCGATAAACTGATTATGCACTAAAATGTATTTCCTAAAAACCAGGTTATGTCCCGCAATCAAAACATAGATTAAGGGACATAACCGAACTAAATCGGCGGTGGGTTTTTAGTAATGACATTATTAAATTACGCCTTGCAGTAAGTAGAAAAATCGCCTCTAGCCTCAATGTAAAGAATTAATATGTATACATAAAGTGATAATATAATTTTTAATTGGCTTCTCTATAAAAGGTTTCTAAAAAGTTCTATGTCGGAATGTTCCTTATTAAAATGAAAAGATGCGATGTAGAACCTACCAATTGACTTATCATCGTACCCTCACGAGTCCACAGAGAACTGCACTACAGCACAAATGAATTGTTTAAAGCTCATAGAGTCTTCAAAAGAAACGCTCCTTGTGGATTGACCATGAAATATCGGAAGCAATAACAACACAAAGTATACGATAGGGATAGCTTTCGTTTCGAACTCGCTTTTAGAACCATTCGATAGTGAAAAAAAATATTCACAAACGCGTTTTGTCGATATAATAACAAGATTATCGATACTCATTAATCAAACTTGACATTGACATTATCAAGTTAATTCATTATTAATGAGATTTTTCGTTAAAATCAAGTCAAATCGTATAATGACCTGATAAAAAGTTAATCTTTTATATATTTTTATGTAACATTATGTTATTTAATTATTTCTATACACCTAAAAGCCGTTTAAATGATCGAACTTATATTTTGTAATAAGGACTCTCGCGGTGTTTGCATGATTTTATGTTTTTAGTCCAAAGACTATAGTGTTTTTTTCCGACGGATGGACCTGAAAGGGCCTCCGGTTTTCAATTTAGTCAGCATTGAGGTGGCAGGGCGCTGAAAGTGGGTAGCCTAAAACTCTTTTGTAGGTGACTAAGCTCGAGGGCTCCCTAGGGCTGTCACTCTGTTAATATAATTACCGGATTGGGATGCCGCCAAGCTCTTAGGTCCTTTAGGCGCACGCTCCATACAGTAACAAGGTGCAAGCACCCTCGATACTTAGCTTGGACTCAATGATCGTTTAGCAATATGATTCGAGGGTGCCCAAGAGTCGAACCTCACTAAGCCTTACTATATATGAATGGGACATATTACAATCGCCTCGGTACGAGGTAGAACTTTGTGTACGCGGAGTGTTTGGCTCGCCGTGACGCGGCATAGGACGAGGGATAGGCTAATAAAGCGTATGTAAAAGCTGTGTGTGTGTGTGTGTGTGTGTGTGTTGTGCTTTCGTGTGGGACCTGAAATGGGTCCTTAATACTCTCGTCCCGTTCCTCGACCGGGTGGATAAGGACCTAACGCGGATTATTGCGTAGTCTTTAACTTCCCAAGTTACTTGACCTTAAAACGGGCGATAGTGAAATTGTTTATTTCAGTCTTAAGGGTTAACTTATCACTTTGCTAGTCTTGATGAAGCATATTTCGGGAATTTTTTTTATGTGAAAAGTCTTCAAGCGAGCAGACGTTTCACCTGTTGTTAAGTGAATACCGCCGCCCATAAACATCTGCTACACCCGAGGCTTGCAGGTGCGTTGACAACCTATTAAAAATTGGGCTTGAAATTGTGATCTTTGGTTCCCTTAATAATAGTTGGTTGTCTAAGCAGTCTTCGACTACAGTATGCGGTATAATCTATGTATCGTTCGACCTAACAACGAAATACATTGTTAGACCGGAAGATATACAGGCCTATTGACGTTAGTTATGAAAATGTGAGAAGCTTTGTGTTCCACCTATTTGGTCAGTGATCTAGTAAACAAGCGTGCCTTGTTTTATTTTTGTGACAAAATGTATGTGAGTGGCGATATCAACTTTTATGAGTGGACCCAGGATATCCAGGAAACGCTGTTCTTCTGCAATAACTGTCAGAGGATCATGTGCAGTAAAAGTCTTCGTTTGACATTCTATTTGTTCGGATCTTAGGATATTAATTACCTACCCTTTTCTTTCTGCTTGGTTAATTTTCATTCATTTATCCAACTGTAAAAAGTAAAGTATCAGCCTATACATGTCCCACAGCTGCGCAAAGGCCTCCTCTATACAGAGGGTATCAGGACATAGTCCACCACGCGGCCCCACTGCGGATTGACGGACTTCACGTATCTTCGAAATATATTTTTTTGTTATTATTTCGAAAATATGCAGGATTCCTCACGATGTTTTCCTTCACCGCTGAGCACGTGATAATTCGGCACTTAAAATTAACAATTTCATTGGTGCCGGCACCGGGGCTCGAACTCAGGTTGCTCGGGTATATTTTATTAAAGGCGAGCGCCCGGACGTTGAGCTATCACGGCTATCTAACTGTATGAGTATCAAACTCATTATAAGACTCCTCCTTTTTTGAAGTCGGTTAAAAGAAATAGTTTTCACCTATATTCTCACTAACGAGGTCCATTTAACGATAGTTACATTCGTTCGCGGCGCAACCAGTGTCAACTGCTGCCTTGTACAGTGTCACGAAATGTAAATAAAGCCCTTATAAAGTTTGCCCTAGACAAGTCGACACACTTCACATATTCAAACACAACCTCTCAATGGCCGACTTCTATAATACATGATATTATACGTTTTCGTCTCGCCTTCTTGCAGTGTGCGCTAAAAATAGCATTGTTTTTGTTTTCGAATTGACGCTTGGTCAGTCGTAACACGATAATTTTGGATGCGTCAGTAGTGGATATAGCAAATAAATGAGAGCTGCGATGTATATTCTCACTTCTCGCCGAAATTACCATAAAAATGTTTTGAAATCAATATCATTGCGCGAATTCGAGTACGAAGTTTCCGAAGAATTTAAATATTAAAGCTTCTTCAATACTTTTACGCTTCGCTTGCAATTTTTCAGAAAACCAGAACTTCTTAGAAGAAGTCTGATACTGTATCTTTTTCTTTCTCCTCTCCTTATTTCATCTAGGCGGGGCTAGCCATAGCCTACTAACAATATGAGAAGCATGTTGTTAATGGTATTGACTAGGTTTATGTACGTACGATCAGCCGTTTGCTTGACGCTAGTCCTTGGTCAGTAACACAACTATCAAAATTGTTCCGCGTGAGGATTCAATCCACGACCCTGACGTCTAAGCCACTATCTTAGGAACTGCGCCACCTAGTAGTTATTATACTAACTGATACTAAAAATTAATATTTAAATGTATTTTTTACAGTTGCTGGTTCAACGCTCCCAAAAGGAAGATGGCGTCAATGGAGTTACCGAGAATTGTTTCACCGTAAGCATTATGTAGCGATTTGTTAATTGTAAAGTAGGTGACAATTGTTCTACTAGACACAAATAGACCGGACCATACAAAACAAGAAATTCCTTCAATCCCCAGTCTTTTCAATTGAAACTAATTTACTCGTAACAATATGGGCGCTGAACAATGTGCGCTGTGTAAAAAAAGGCTGGTGCAAACTAAGCTGGTGCTAATTAGGCTGTCAATAATATGCTGCTCATTCCGGCGGGAAAATGTCGAACGTGATATTGCGAACAGTCAATGTCATGCGCATGCGAATGGCGCGCTACGATTGGCGGAAATTACAGTCACCTGACGCCGCAATTGGTCGTAATGAATGCGGTTTTCATTATTAACGAATACAACCAATGCAGCTGACTATATGGAAAAAGTGGTCGAGCGTTTCAAAGATAAATTGATTTCAATTGTTCGTAAATACGTTACGGTCCATCGCTTGTGAATAATTTGTTAGGTAACGGATCGTTTAAAATATAATTGAGAAAATCGAGTACAAAAATCGGAGTGATTCTTTCAATTCTTTCACAACACTGTGATTTCAGAAAATGTCGGCCAAATATTGCAGATTTCCTTACGGCAAAAATAGGTAGAGACTAGCGTTTACTTCTGTTAGCCCAATGGGGCTTATTCGATAAAGATTCAATCGAGTATAATTAAAATAATTTCCTTATAAATTAGTCTTTTGTTTAGTCTTATCAAATTATCTTTTAATTATTTCCTGCGTATATCATTAAAGATATTGTTGAATGAAGCTATTGTATGTAGCTTATCTTTTTAAGAAAATGTTTAAGGTGCGATTACAGTATGCATTATAATAATATTATTTATACGTGTTGTTTAATTTACATTAGTTTAGTTACTAAGCTGTGTTTAACTAGTAGGATGACGGTAAAATATTGGAGAAAAAAAGGGTTAAAAGCTTCGAATATATTATGTATTTAGGATAAATGAGCCATATAGAGCCGCGATAGCTCAGTGCCCGGGCGCTCGCTATTTCAATATAGGCACTCGAGTATCCTGGGTTCAAAACCCTGTAGCAACACCGAGTAATTTCCGAAATAAATGTCCACGGGCGGCGGCTATACCTTAACACAAGGTGAACAGCTTGTCACCTAGATTCGGTGGCGCTGTTGCATTGGCTAATAATTGCTTAGGATCTGGCTGTACATTCACAAAAAGTGTTAACCTCAGACAGGCGGCAGGATTTAAAAACTTAGCGATACTACCTAACCTAACAATGCCATTAACAACACTATTCATATGTTGCACCCTCTCCTATTGGAGAGAAAAAGAAGGGAGTATCGAGGATCATTGTTGGGCAGAAATTGCTATTACCAAACCGTTCGCAGAAATACCTGTTCCCGATGTACCCGGACCTGGCGCGCCACTTCTTCAGGTACCTGCTCAAGGTGGGCAAGTGCAAGAACAAGCACATACCCCTCGCGACCTTCAGGCAGCAATGCGAGCGCATCATGGCAATGCTGGACGACGCCGTCATCATCGAAGCATACGTCAGGTAATGCGCTCCATCGGACTGCCTCGATTGCATTTATAATTTATCACATTTACGCGATTACACATTATTAAATTAAACTATATTTATACGGATTTATCGATATTGTTGAATTTTATTTCCCGACGTTTCGAACCCTTTACAGCGTTCATGGTCACGGGGCAGACAGCTGTAAAGTGTAAAGATGAATATAGTTTAATTCGATTCTTTCGGTTAAGGTTACTAATGCCTTAGCAGTACAATAAACAGGTCAATCCGTGTACACCAGCGTGATAAAAGACCGTTGTCGGGACCCCCTCGGGAGACCCCTCCCGTCTTACTTTTTATCCAGTATCTAACTTTCCAGTCGATAGTAAAGATCGCGAGACAAGTTTGAATAGAATATAATATATATAATATATATTATATGTGAATAGAAAATAACTGACAGCTACATATTCATGCTCGTTCTTTCTTCCAAATCTCTCGCATACACTGTCTTCTGTCTATAAAAATTTCCACTTCCAAACAGTCTTCAATCCGAACATTGGGAAGCCGAAATGTTTCACTTCTTCAATACTGTCAATACTGATTCTTCAAAACCAAAAGCTGTGTCTTCGATCGCATGGACTAAAGTTCCTGTTTCTTCACAGAATGTTCAGCTCGGATACCGACGAAGGTGCTGTGACGCCAGACGGCCTACGCAGCCTCCTCTACATCAGCTACAAGCTCTCAATGGACCACTATCCCGAGGGCCCGCAGACCTGTCTCATGGTGAGTTGTGGTAAGATTACAGCTAAATCGGGTCCACTCTATTTTGAAGGTATACAAGTAACCTTTGCTAAAGAGTTTGTACGCGAAGGAATATCCGATGAGCTAAAGGAGTTGTGCAAATGTCGTGGACCTGAGATTAGATGATAGAGATGACATGAGATGATAGACCAGTGAAGATCCTAGGCCTAGCAGACCAGTGGGATGGCTTAACGGTGGTAGGGCCACGCAGCAGCCTCGGCTAACGCACGAATGGGCAGGCCCGTCCGGGTAAGTACCACGACCTCACAGGAGACCAGCGTAAAGTGGAAGTATGACAAATACTTTCGCGTTTCGTATGGTGAGTGAGGTAGCCGGAGCCCAATTTTCAAAAGGTTGTCAACACATCTGTAACTCTCGGGTGTACCAGCAAATGTCCATGGGCGGCGGTATTCACTTAACATGAGGTGAACCTGCTCGTTTGGCAACTTTTCACATAAAAAAATGGCTTCGAACCTACGCCTTCCGGATTGAGCTAGGTTCCAATATTGGCAGTGGACACAAACATTTTATGTTTCGATTTACACATTTTAACTTTTATCTTAAGTGCAGAGACTAGCTTTTAAAATAAATATTAAGAACGGTCTACGGTAAACACAATATGTAACAAGAAAAGAAAGTTTAAATTAAATAACAGTTAAATTAACAATATATGCGAAAAAGTAACAAAGTAGCAGCCTATAAATGTCCCACTGCTGGGCAAAGCCCACATCTGTTCACTACAGAGGGTATTAAAGCATAGTCCACCACACGACCCCACTGCGTATCGGCTTCACATATTATCTTCGAAATATTTTTTTTATTATTTCGAAAATATGAAGGTTTCCTCACGAAGTTTTCCTTCACGGCTGAGGACGTGCTAAGAAAGAGTACAACCGAATGTAACCATGACCGCTTGTTGGTAGATAAACAAAACTCTGTCGGCGGTCATAAACGGTTGCTTCAACAAGAAAGATTCGCACAGCGTCGGTTTCGTAGTCCGTTGGCTAGAGGAGCACTGCCACAGACTAATATTCCCCGTGCACCGGTGAGTCAAATTGTTTCATTTAAAATACACACTTTACACTTGAAACACAATGAAACGCAACGCACACGGAGTTACACACATTATGGAACTAAATTATATTGTAAATAATCAATTAAATAATGGACATTTGGCTAGAGGAGCACTGTCAGAGGCTAATATTTACCGTGCACAGCTGAGTCTAATTGTCTCGTTTAAAATACACACTATAATAATAATAATATAATAATAAAATATCTTTATTCACATAGACGCTTGCGCGTTCTTATGAAACGTCAAAATTTTACAAGAAATTAACACGTTCGTAAGTTACCACCGGTTCGGAAAGCAGTTTCTGTTGAGAAGAAACCGGCAAGAAACTCAACAGTTGCTCTTTTTTAAAAAATCAGTTTACAATATAATAGTACAGGTACAATAGTCTTGTTTTAGCCTACGTGAGTATCAACAGTATTAACCCCACACATTGGCGTCGTCAAGATATTCGACAATAGTATAATAGGCTTTAGCCATAAGTGTACTTTTAATTTTTCGTTTAAATTCATCAAGTGGCAGACTTAACATCGACTGTGGGATTTTATTATACATGCGCACACTTTGCCCCATGAACGATCTGTTTACTTTTTGTAGGCGAAATAATGGCGTAGTTAGTTTGTCCTTATTTCTAGTATTTAGTTTATGTCTGTCACTATTCTTTTGATAATTATTAATATTCTGTTTAACATACAAAATATTACAATAAATATATTGAGACGCAACAGTGAGTATATTAATCTCTTTAAAAAGATCTCTGAGTGTATTTCGGGCTCCGATGTTATAAATTGCTCGGACAGCTCTTTTTTGAATAATAAATATTGAATTTATATCAGATGCACTACCCCACAACAAAATGCCGTACGACAAGATGCTGTGAAAATAACTGTAGTAAACAAGTCTGGCAGTGTCGATGTCTGATAGCTGCCTAACCTTCCTAATTGCAAAAACAGCGGAGCTTAACCTATTCGCAAGAGATGATAGATGGGGACTGCATTGGAGCTTTGAATCTACTGTGATTCCCAAGAATACAGCGGACTCAACAGGATTAAGGGTTACGCTATTCAATTTTAAGCTAAAGCTTTGCCTTCTTACGTTGGGAAGGGCAAAAAGAAGGCATTTAGTTTTTTTAGCATTTAACACCATATTATTAATGATAAACCAGTGGAGGATACGCGAAAGTGCACTATTCACGTCGTCATAATTCGATACATTTCGGTCAACCTTAAAAATAAGCGATGTGTCGTCAGCAAACAGTACAACATCACATTACTCACTGGCATAAAAGGGGAGATCATTTATATATACTAAGAATAATAATGGGCCCAAGATCGATCCTTGTGGGACACCCATTTTCATGGGGGACCCTGTGGAATTTACATCATTTATAGATACTTTTTGAATTCTATTATATAGGTAAGAAGCAATGAGATTGAGGGCGATGTCACGAATGCCATAATAATCAAGCTTTAGAAGGAGGGTTTTGTGATCCACGCAGATTTTGAAAGGTCGCAAAAAACACCTATTGCATCTTGCGACCCTTCCCAGGCGTTATAAATATGTTTGACAAGTGCGATACCCGCATCTGTTGTCGATCTGCCTTTAGTGAATCCATATTGCTCATTGTGAAAAATTTTGTTCATATTAAAATGTACTAAGAGCAGATTTAAAATTAGTTTTTCAAAAATTTTACTCAGAGATGGCAATATGGAGATAGGTCTGTAGTTTCCTGGATCATTTTTATCCCCACTTTTGAAGACGGGGATTATCTTACTAAATTTCATAAGACCTGGAAATATTCCAGATTCTATGCAGTTGTTAAAAATATTAGCTAAATGTGGTGCAATATATGGCATTATTGTGGTCATTAATTTTATGGACATGCCCCATAAATCCTCTGTATTTTTAAGATTAATAGAATTCAAAACTTTTATAATATCATAAGTATCTACGTGATTAAATTCAAATGTGTGGGGAAAAAAGGTAACATTATTTTTTAGAACGTTAATTGCATCTATGGGAGATGATTTTAATGTACATGTGACATTAACTGCAATTTCTGAAAAATAGCTTTCAAAACTACTTGCAATTTCATTATCTGATGTTATGTGAGTATTACCTATAACCAGTTTTATAGGTTCCCTGAATATCTTGGGTATTCCAGATATACGGGTAATGATGTCCCATGTGGCTTTAATTTTATTGTTTGAATTTATTATTCTATTTCTTATATGAATAGATTTTGCCTGAATACAGACTTTTTTAAATATTTTTGAGAACATTTGTACCCTTTTATGAAAGTTGGGGTCATGATTCCACTGCCTCATATTATATAATTCATACAGTGAATCCCTACTTTTATATATACCCACTGTTGCCCAGTCACTAAATTTTAATTTTGAATTTTTAACAATTGTGCGCGGTTTAAATACATCATTATAAGAAGATATGAGAAAGTCAACTATTGATTTATAAGAATCATTAGGATTATTGACTTCTATATCTTTATTTAAAATATGATGTGCCACTTTGTCTTTAAAAGAATTTATTCTATTAGTAGTGACTGGTCTACACTTGATCTTATGTTTGCTTGTAATAACTTTTTCATTTATTGAAAATTTTAAACCAAAGTGGTCAGAGCTCAGATAATTTATAACATATTTATCATATACATTATCGTGGCAGAAAACGTTATCTATACATGTGGAGGATGAGTTAGTGACACGAGTTGGTTCATGAAAAAGATTATTAATTAAGTTTAAATGAACTAAATAAATTTAAAAGTCGTTTACTAAGATGTGTCACTTGTAATAAATCCACATTAAAATCTCCACAAACTACTACTGATTTACTACTTGAACAGAGTTTTTTAAGTACATCATCATCATCCATTACACACTCACAACAGATCGAAATCACCTGAGGGGGGTCGATACACGCATACTATAATATACTGTTGACTCTCAACGCAGGATAATTCTATAGAACGTTCGACAGAGTGTGCTACTATATCCTGTCGATTTTTACAGACTATATCAGTTCTTACTAACACAAGAGAGCCACCGCGAATAGCATTTGCTCTTACGAACGAACTTAACAATTTATAGTTCTCTATATCTATAATATTAAAATGCTTATGTAACCATGTCTCTGTGAAGCAGATGACATGGATGTTAAATCTTCTAAGAAACAGCTCAATTTCAGGTTCTTTGCCACCTATGCCTTGTATATTTTGGTGTACAATATTTAATTTAAGTGGCTTAGGTGTTGTCTCAATGTTTAGTTTAAACTAACATTGTTTTTTGTAAAATTATTGCTAAGTAAAATGTTCTTAGTTGTACAATGTACAACTGGGAACTATACACTTGAAACACAATGAAACGCAACGCAGGCGCAGTTACACACATACACGGAAGTAAATTATACTGTAAATAATTAATTAAATAATAGACATTTGGTTAGAGGAGCACTGCCACAGACTAATATTTCCCGTTCCCAGGTGAGTTTAATTGTTTTATTTAAAATACACACGTAACACTCGAAACACAATGAAACGCAACGCACACGAAGTTACACACATTACGGAAGTAAATTGTTTTGTAAGTAATTAGTAATAATAGTAACATATTAATATAATAACTTATGTAATAATAATAACTTATATTAGAGGGAAACTGAAACGGTACTATTTTGTTTATTTTTTATTCGATGGCTTAGTTGCCAAGCTATTAGCTTCGGCGCTGGGTTCGTTGGTTCGATTTACATAAGGATAAGTATTTGTGTGCTCGGCGTATTGTTTCCAATCAAGATGAGGTCCAATCAGAATGTCAATACATTAGGTTGACGTAAAAATATAGACAAAACTTAAAACATTATCATATTGTGCCGACCTCGTCTATACGACAAGACTGTTGACTCTATATTTTATTTCACTGGATTTTATTTTTTAAAGCACCAGCCGAAGTTATGATACAAAGGATTGTATCATAACTTCGATAACAATTTTAAATCTAAATCTCTTGTTAATATCTATAACGTTTGAGGATTGCCCTCGATTTCTCTGGGATGCCATCATCAGATTGGTTTCCTTATTATGGTACCGCCCTTGGGCTGTCTCCTACCCAAAAAAAAAAAAAGAATCATCAAAAGCGGTTCATAAACGTCGAAGTTATCCGCGGACACACATAAAAAAATATACACGGTCGAATTGAGAAACCTCCTCCTTTTTTGAAGTCGGTTAATTAAAAATCTTAATGTCATTATTATTTATCATAATCGTATCGTAGAGCAGTGATAGCGCAGTGTCCGGGCGCTCGCCTTTCTTTACATTTACTCGAGCAACCCGAGTTCGATCCCCGGTGCCGGCACCAATGAAATTGTTAATTTCAAGTACTGAATTATCACGTACTCGGCGGTGAAGGAAAACATCATGAGGAAACCTTTATATTTTCGAAACAATACTAAAAAAAATCGAATAATATATGAAGACCGTCAATCGGCAGTAGGGACGCGTGGTGGACTATGCCCCGATACCCTTTTTACAGAGGAGGGTTTTGTCTAGCAGTGGGACATATATAAAAAAAGTTTCCAAACGAGTAGACGGTTCACCTGATGGTAAGTGAATATCGCGGTCCATGGACATCTGCTACACCCGAGGGTTAGAGATGCGTTGACAACCTTTTGAAAATTGGGCTCCGGCTACCTCACTCACCAAACGAAGCGTGCAAGTATTTGTCATACTTCCAATTTACGCTGCTCTTCTGTGAGGTCGTGTTACTTACCCGGATGGGCCTGCCCATTCGTGCAACAGCCGAGGCTGCTGCGAGGCCCTGCCACCGTTAAAACCCGTTCCTTTTACTTTACTTTTATTTATTTTAAGGTACTGCGTCCACATGCTCGCCACCCGCCACCGGGACATAGAGGCGCACGTGGAGTCGAACGGCTCTGGCGCCGGGCTGGAGCTCGCCACGCCGGTGCTGGAGCGGGGCGCGTGGCACGCCAACTCGGGCGCGCTGCTGCCCGTGTCGGCCGCGTGGCTGCTCGCCGCCACCGCGCCGCCGCTCTACTCGCGGCCGGCGCGACCGCCGCCCGCCCCGCACACGGGTGAGCGATTCTCGGGTGACGTCACATGAGATGGTTAATGGTTACACTCGCGACTGGCGCGCCTCTCGCCCGCCCCGCAAACGGGTGAGCGATACTCGTGTGACGTGAAATGGGAACGTTAATAGTTCAACACGCGACCGACGCGCCCCCCACACGGGTGAGCGATTCTCGGGTGACGTGAAATGGGAACGTTAATAGTTCAACACGCGACCGACGCGCCCCCCACACGGGTGAGCGATTCTCGGGTGACGTGAAATGGGAACGTTAATAGTTCAACACGCGACCGACGCGCCCCCCACACGGGTGAGCGATTCTCGGGTGACGTGAAATGGGAACGTTAATAGTTCAACACGCGACCGACGCGCTCCCCACACGGGTGCGCGATTCTCGGGTGACGTCACGTGGGAACTTTAATGGTTACACTCGCCGCACACGGGTGAGGGTTTCTTGTATGACGTCACATGGGAACGTTAATAGTTAGTTACACGCGACCGGCGCGACTCCTGCCCGCCCCGAACACGGGAGAGCGATACTCGTGTGGCGTGATATGGGAACGTTAATAGATCAACACGCGACCGACGCGCTTCCCACACGGGTGAGCGATTCTCGGGTGACGTCACGTGGGAACGTTAATGGTTACACTCGCGACCGGCGTGTAGGGAGTAAGATTGGCGTAGCGGGTAGTGGACCTACCTCTTGCGCCAGAGGTTGTGTAGTGTGCGTCAGTTTCAACAAGTACGGTGTTTGTTTCCCAAGGAGGGTTGACGTCAGGCAGGCGGCCGGTCGTAAAAACCATAGCCAAAACCCCTTCCAACACGATTCACGCAGTTGTCCTTAGGCCACCCGTGGGATAAGGGCAGGAGGATGATTATGGTTTTGACGTTGACACTTTTGACGTTGACAGTTTTGACATTGACGTTTACGTCGTTGACAGGCGGCGGTTCCGCGTCGGCGATGTGGCTCGCGCGGCTGGTGTGCGCCGTACCCTCGCACTGGGCTCCATTGTACGCGTCTAGGGAGCACGGCCTCGGCGCCAATCGGTTCCTGCATCACACCCTGGCCTACAGGTACCAGTGCTACTCCATTTTTTTTATGTGTGTTAAGGCTGTTCGCCTTGCGTTAAGCGATGACCACCGCTCATTGACATTTGCAACAGCCTTTGGGTTAGGTGGCATCGCTGAGTTTTTTAAAACTGCCTGACGTCAACACTTTGTGAATGAACACCCAGATCCGGGACAATTATCAGCCAGTGCAACTGCCCCACTGAGTCTAGGTGGCAAGCTGTTCTCACCTGACATGTACAACAACCGCATATGCGTTGCAGCCTTTTAAGAAAGTGGGGCCCGGCTACCTCACTCACCGGACGAAACGTGCATCATTGCCACGAAGAGTGGACCACGTAGCGGTCGTTGCTGTTGACCGACGTGAAGTGGAATTATTATCCTTTTGCGTTTCGTCTGGTGAGTGATGTAACGAGACTCACAGTATTTTAACCACGTCGACAACGCATCTGCAACTCCTCAGATGCTGCAGATGTCCACTTGCGGCGTTCTTAAAATCGGTCATTTTTAAATCAATTTTAAAAATTATTTTCGTTTTGGTTTCGGTTTAGCTCCCTTTGGGGTGGTCCCATATTAATATCATTTGTATTGGCACTGCGATGTTTGCACTGCTAGTGGCTCGGATGTTTGAAGTCGGTTTTGTTTTTTTGTTAGTAAAAATGTGCTTGTGTTTCCCAGAGGTCCAACGCTGGTGGTGGTGGCGTCTGATGAGGTGACAGCCGTGATAGCGAGCCCCCAAGAATGGCGCGAGACCCACCAGTACTGGGGAGGACCGGAATGCGCCCTCATACAACTCTATCCCACGTGAGACGCCATTCGAATACAATCCTAGTGTAACATGTTACGACTGTTTACGTTAACAATAATAACAGATAGAGCCGTAGTAGCTCTGTGTCTAGGCGCTCGCTTTTAATTCAACATACGTGCAACATCAGTTAAAATCCCGGTGCCCGGACCAATGAAGGTATTGATTGCAATTTTAATTGATGACTTTGCTCGGCGGTGAAGGAAGACATTGTGAGGAAATCTCAATAATTTGAGGATATGCGAAGTCTGCCAATCCGCATTAACACCAATCGAATAATAGGCTGTTACTTTACTTCAATAATAACATAACAGGTAAAGGCCAGCCCGTGGCTCCTGTAATTTTTTATATCATTGACAGATCTAATTGCTCATATCATACCCGCTTTAAGAAGAGAAGAGGGAGACGTACAAATCAAACATATAGATGTATTTTTATTCTTTTTTGTTTCACCTGAGACAATGTTAGATATTGCTGGAAGTGAAACATACTCTTCTGTTGATATCAGCTTTACTCTTTCTTTAGATGTAAAGGGAAAATAATCGAAGAGATTAATACGGACTGTGTCTCTCCCTCTCTCAAAGAATAGCAGTAGAATTAAACCAAGCACACCCCCCCCCCCCCCCCCCCCCCCCCCCAACTATATTCCAGGTTCGCGCTGATCGAGCTCGGCCCCAAGATGCTGTACCTGAACACGGCGATACGCGGCTACCCGAAGGGCCTCCGCGCCGGCACCGACCCCCGCAAACCGCTGCTCTCCATCAACGAGGACTTCGACTCGTTCACCTTCCAGGGCGTGCCGTACACCATACGCGCCATAGAGGTATCTATGCTTATGATTCTTGACGACTTGTCTAAATAAAAAAAAGGGCGAAATAAGAAAATAAGAAATGAAAGTTACATACAACCCAGTGGCACAGTTGCCAAGGTATTGGCTACGGCGACGGGGATCGTGGGTTCGATTCCCACACGGGACAACTATTTTTGCGACTCACAGATAATAGTTTCGGATCTGGGTGTTTGATGGAATTAATGCATGTATGACGCTTTCAACGCGAGGGAAATCTTCCTAAGATACCGAACACCGCACCGGTGTCCCTCGGTACTGGATGTGAGCACGCCTCGGAGAAGGATATAACCCCGATTCCCTCGCCATTTTGCAGCATCTCGAGGCCAATTTGTACTGTGCCAATCCATGTCCCCTTTTGGTCGCCTTTTACGATAGGCAAGAGATATTTTAGTCCTATTCTAGAGCCCGGGACTACAGGGCTGTCCTTGTGACGCCTAGAAATTAATGATCAGATTGATAATGGTCTTTTGAAAAATAATATATGTACATACCCGTAGAATGCCTAGCACTTTAGATTGGTTATTAAATATGTAATGCAGCTGTAAAACAATTTTTGTAGGTCTGGGGCTGCGGAGATCAGGCGTCAAGAGAAAACCAATTAGAGGTCAAGAAATGGCAAGTGCGTGAAGCGGAGAGACAGCGGCAGGTATGTTATTTGTTGCTTTTACTATAACAACATAATTGTGCCATTCATCCAGTAAATCAGTTAGAAAATCAGGGCAAAATTTATATTACACATATATTACACATATTACACATATACATATTCTAACAAGGAAACCAGTCTGTGTGCATTATTTTTTACTGTATTATGTCTACTATTTCCTTTGATAATCTATATTCTAATAATCTTTAAACAGTTTTTTAGTATTGTTTAATATTATTATGAATGATCACAATGAATAAATGTCTTGTAATTTACATAATTTATTTCCGTCAAACATGAACCTGTCTATGTAAATTTAAAAAAAAATTACTGAAAAACAACCTTGAACCTGACGGAAATCTACCTTGCATTATTTAACTTGCAATGACTTTTTCAGGTCAAACTGTCTGCAGCGGATTGGATTGAACATCCCGATAGATATCTATTGGAGCTAGCGGGTCGTCCACAATACAACAACTCGGCCAGCTAGTAATATTACACTGCAGCCAAGGGATGCATGCTGTAGGCCTGGGACATTGCAGACTGCAATTCTGGTGTACAGTGCAGTTTTAGGGACACCCAATGTACTGCGGGCCGGAGAAAGAGAGTTGTCAAGTTCAAGAAATCAATGTTTAATGAGTGGAGAAGTGAATTTTTAAAGCATTGTTGATATCAATGTTGGGGAAGGAGTCACGCCTTAACTATAGTCAGTTATATTTCTGTAGTAAAATAATAGTAAGTTATAGGTTCCACAGAAATGGTTCCATTAAGAAAAAAATGCTGTCATCCAAATTTATTGGCATTGTTAATACTGATTGAACACATGATTAGATCTAAAAATTATGACATGGAATAAAAAGAGGTGGCAAGTAAGTACATTTAAAAATGATAAATTAAATTCAACTAGAATTAACCCTAATTTGTTTGTCTATAAATTTCAAGGCTAGTCTTTTACGTAATAAAATTGATACTGATAAATAAGTATTAGTAAAAGTCACTAGTTTTATCAATTTTATAAGGTCAGTCGGATTTTTAAAATTAATGGGGCTGTTATAAGAAATCGGTTTTAAATGTCCAAAAGAGTCTTAACTATTATTTTCATTGCTTTCAAATATTAACGTTCTCCGTATTCCTACGCCTTTGTTGTGACAGTATATTATAATATTAATTTATGGTTCTTATGAATTTCGTAATTTTCGTAATTTCCTTTTCCAAATTCCAAAATTATATAAAGGGATTATTTAAACAATTCTCACATAAAGATGAACATCATGGACCATAAATCTTTGCCAACATGCATAATTTAGGATGTACTTAAATATTACTACATTATTCTAAATTTTTATATTTTCATATTGAGCGTATTGGACGCGTTTAATACTATTGTGAACATTATAACTTTCGCCTTTTCATCACACTCCAAATTGTTAAATTAAAACACTTATTAAAAATACGATACATTAAATTATAAACTTAACTTCAACATAAATTATCAGCAGAAACAAGTATCATACAGATGCTCATTTAAGTACGTAAGTTTGTAAAGAAACAGATAACTGCAATCAAAATAATTTTCGATCTGATTTTTTAATTATAATTTTTATGTAAGTGACACAAGATGCATACGAAACTCCTAAAATTTCTCTTCTTTCAAACCTCTTCTTTCTGAAAACTGCATCCTGCATCCTTTTCATTTTTATTAATTTAAAATGAAAATATCACATTTGATTTCTTTAATTAATGTAACTAATTGATACCAGCAAATTTGCTTTCTCGGACAGTATTTCAGATATTACTTAAAGTATATTTAAAGAATGGATGTTAAAATAATTTGCTCAACCATCATTTATTACTCTTGTTTGAAAGTTTGTAATTATAATACATCTAAACTGTAGAATAACTGTGAACAGTATAAGGAGCTATTAGCAGTAAGAATTAATCTGATATTCTTACTAGTAAAATAAATGTAACATTGTGATTTTTTTGAAGTCACAATATTTATGGCATTCAAATTTTAGAATTGAAAGAAACTGTGGACACAGATCGCTTCATCATACACAGATTGTAACAAAATGCCCTTGCATTGCACATGTCATTGTTATTTCCCATGATTGGGACCACTATAATTCTGTTTAACGATTAAGTGAGTAAGTTCAACAAATATTTTGTACCTTGTGTGTAAAATTCATATGTAACCCTGTTGTGACCAAAAATAAGTCATAAACATGTCTAAATTTAGTATTTAAAGATTTTATGGGAATGGTCATATAATTATGCTTTCATATTGTTATTTGATGGACCAAACTGTTCATAATAGACAGTAGTTTTAGGCTATATTTAGACTTTGCATATTCTATAAGTAAAGTGCGCTTTAATTAAAAGGTGCTAATGAGGGGCATAGCCAGCAATTAACAGACTGATTGGTGGCAAAAATATAAATGCATTATTTATTATTGTAGCATTTTATGTTACTTGTAGATCTGATAAAAATAAAATAAAGTCTTCTCTAAATTACAATAAAATTTTGCGTATAAAATATTGCTTTATTTTCTCTTTAAATTTTAGTATATTTTAAAATATACTTTTTCTGATTTTCTTTGAGCACGAATATTGATAATGACATTGCTGGTTATGTATCAATGCTGTTAACAGTTGCTTTTATATTTGTATTATATTGTATATTGAAATACTTAAATAAAAGTTAGTTATGAAATTGCATAACAATGGTTTTCATTTTTTCACCCTAATATGATGTACAAGAACCCGTTGAAGAACTATAGACCCTCGCTCCGCTCCTATCTCGCTCCTGAGCTATGTATATGCTGTTTTCTAGAGTCCCATAGACCACATTCATGCTCTCCGTCAGATTATACAGAAGACCGAGGAGTATAATCGGCCATTTTGCTTAGCGTTTGTGGACTATGAAAATGCCTTCGATTCAATCGAGACCTGGGCGGTACTGCAGTCCCTTCAGCGATGTCATATCGACTATAGGTATTATCAAATTTCTGAAGTGTTTTTACAGAAACGCCACCATGTCCATCCGTCTACAGAACAAGAGTACGAAAGCAATCCAATTGCAGCGAGGCGTGAGATAAAGGTCTAATTAAATGTATAAAAATATCTAATTTTCCATAGGATTTTTCCATACCAGAGAGTTGAAGAAACAAGTTACACGTAAACGACTAAGGCAGTATATGTATATTATCTATGTTTAGTACCTAGGGTTAAGTCATTTCTCTCCTTTTTGAGAAAACCTCTTTTTATCACAGCCTCAAGCGAAAGTCACTTGGTAGGTAATGCCAAGTTTTAAAAAGGTCGGTGTCCTCAGTAGAGCGAGACTACTTCTTGTCGGTTTATCGCTTGCTACTTTATAAAGGCCTCACTCACCACACTGCCTCTGCTTGGGTACTCTAACATACAGCTGTTCGAAGCGTTGTGATAGTTCAGTGACTCAGTCCGCGCGCTCTACTTTAATTCAATATATTCGAGCAACCTGAGTTCAATCCCTGGTGCCGGCACCAATGAAATTGTTAATTTCAAATGCTGAATTATCACGTGCTCAGCGGTGAAGGAAAACATTGACTTAGCAGTCATAAAAAAAGAGTTTTTGATTTATGTAAATAAAACATATAATTTTGATTATTTTGTAGCCGTATGTTGTATGTTGGTAGAAAGTTTACGACCTTAGCTATATCAAAAAAACATCTGTTGACGTTTGACATGACAATTGACATTTGACAATCAAGTAAAAGATAAACAGTATTTATAAAAATATATATATTAAATAAAATATTCTTATACAATCATTCTCTTCATCATATCATTATAAAAATAAGCAACCAAAAGATATTCTTAGAAGAAGAAGAAGATTCATTATTCATGATATATTACGAATCAAAAAAGAATAAATATTACAACTTATAATGATTATAAGACATTCTGCCCTGAGTATCTTAGTTTTGATTTAATTTATTTCAAGAGTCTTTATATGATGGCAGTTTATGCCGCTCATTTGACACGTACACTTCAAGGGACCCCGTCAGTTTTTCAAATAACTGCTCAAGAGGCTTTGGGGACAACGATTAAACCGGCACTTAAAAAGCTTGTGGAGGTATTTTGAACAATCGTTGACTTGATTTAAAAATGTTGTTTTAAAATAAAATGAATTCTTTATCTCTCTATCTCATTATCTCTCAATTTATAAAAATGCATTTTATTTTATTTTGTAGTCAAATTTTATTTTATCGTGAACGGTTCTTTTGTATTTAAAGTGTTTGTTTTTGGATGGTAATTGGAAACTAACTCAATATACAAATTTAAATAATTTTTTTAACAATTATTAAACATAAATAGATTTAATTTATTACAGTTTATTTTATCATTAATACTAATAGCTTTAAATTTCAGTACTTAGCTGCTGTTTATCCTAACAAATGTGGATTGCTTGAAAGATGGTATGACGAGTTATACTTGCTGTTAGATATCTGTCTACAATATCATTATTTAAAGCACTATGGTAAGTTGACTTTTTATACCTTTTCTGAGTACAATTATTGTATTTACAACGGTGAATGCTCTGAGAAATAATTCATATTAAACCTGCAGCCTTGTTTCACCATTGTGCACAATGGCATACCACAAATATAACCCAACATGGTCTGTTTAATAAATTTTTACCATGTACAATTACTTTGCAAAATTTAATGTTTTTCTTTATACATTAAAGACCATCAATGCTTTTACAGCTTCTCTTGTCTTTTGAATGTCCAGTGGCAGTGATCACTTACTGGATGGTGTTGTGACTGTGGTGGTATATACAATGTGTGTGGTGAATAGCCACAAGCAAATAGCCTGTCTACCCCACGCATGTTTTGTTATGCCCTTTTATTTTATAACTGTTAAAAGTACCATACCACTATTACTCTGTACATGTCAGTTAGTAGTACAATTATGAAATTCTTTTATACAAATAGTTCTGCAATTTATGTAGATAACAATATTTAGCATTAAAAGAACAAATTTATAGATAACATGTCTAAACTAAATTTCTATATTTTACATTGAATGTAAATACATATCTTTATAAAACAAAATTCATTTATCCAAAGAAAACATAAATTAATTACATATTTATTAACCTTATTTGCATAACTCAGATATTGTAAGCAAAGTATTGATGATAAATTAAGTAGGTAATTACAGCAATTATTTTTACTTTTAATTACAATAATAGCAAGGTTTGTTTAAAGCTATTTGCAAGTAAGAAAAATTAAAATCTATTTTCTGTTCTAAAATTTTACTCTTATTATAAGTGATTGAGATAAGTAAAAAAAATAATTATGACTTATAGCCTATAACATTATTATTCCTGCTTTTTCAGCTGCTTCATTCGCAGAGTGTTTCTATGGTCTTTTGAGGGTACCTATAAATCCCAGTGACGAATTTAATTCAGGAACTAGATTATCAGAATTCTTAGAGAAGGGATCTCTGATACTCCTTGTGCTTGTGCCATATATCAAAGACAAAGTTGAACAGCTTGTTGAGAAATGGAGAGAAGACAATGAAGATGGGAGACTTGGCAAGGTATATTTAGTAATAGAATTAACTTCTTAATAACAATTTGATCAGAGGACATGCTGTATGATTTACACATACAGCATGTCCTCTGATCGAATTGTCAGGCTATATGACAGTTAAGAAACTATGGAGGAGCAAATTTATATGCTTATGTTTAACATATGAGTAACCAGTTTGAAGAAGTTACTGTTACAATATAGAAACATTTTTTTCCTCAGTTATTTAAGCAATTTTTATTTTTCTATTTTGAATCAAATTCTCAATAAATTTTAGAGCACAAGTGATAAAGCGCGTAAGGCGGCAATCAAGCTGTATGCGATTATACATTTCACACTGGAAACTGCGAAACTTGTACAATTAGCCCGCTACTTAACTGGTCGAACACTATCTCCATCACTGGAATTGGCTTTACTCGGCCTAACAGTGAAGGATGCCCCTCCTTCGAAAGCTGAGGAGTTCACATGGTCAGATCTATACAAAAGTCTTTGGGCTGGACAAATCAGGTAATTAAACAATACATCAATACATAGGTAGCGAAGCTAGTGATATCCATTTTGAGTAGGGCTTATAGGATTGCAGAACACAATTAGTTTACTTACTAGTGCGTGCCTTTAAATTCAAAACCTTGTCCTTCGATTGCTAGTTGAATACATAGTATAAAACAAAGTCATCCCGCTGTTTGTCTATCCCTATATATGCTTAGATCTTTAAAACTACGCAACTGATCTTGATGCGGTTTTTTTACTAGATAGAGAGATTCAAGAAGAAGGTTTAAATATATAATACATTGCACCCTACCGAAGCCAGGGCGGGTTGCTAGTTTAATATAATATATTCAAATTTAAAAGATATAGAGAGACAAATCTTTAAAAGAAAAGAGAGTGAATATAAACCATTGAGTGAATATTGTTTGTTATAATGAAACATTTGAGGGAGGTTTTTTAGGCCTACAAAACTGCGTCTTACTCCCGTAAGAAAATCTATGAAAGGTATTCAGTATTTTGTTCTGGAGGGTACACATTCAATTCAGTGGAGCACGTTTGTATACTTTCTAACTTTGTCGTCAATTACTGCATAGCAAGGGTTTCAATACGAGACACATTCTAAATATGAGACGTGAGATTAAGACAAGTAACATCGGAATTTTAGCCATTTATTCCTTAGCACTTATAATTGTGCACAACTGTAAAGTCAGTGGTTAATCAATAAAAAAGCCGATCAATTTGTCTTTTCTTTTCAGCGACGCACCTTTATCATTCCCACTGGTGGGCCGTGGGCTATTAAATGCGTTCCAGTACGGCGCGTTCGCGGTGCAGCTTCTGCGTTGGTGGGAGGCCCGTGCATCTCCACTTACGACGCTACCAGTGCCCACACCGCCGCAGGTTTTTTCTTATAAAACATTTTTGTATCATATCGCCCCATATTTACCAAATACCAAACAGTATTCGACAGTGGTAGGACCATGCCGCAAATTTTGATATTGCACATATGGGCAGTACGCTTATGTAATTCGCCTGGTTAGTGTGGTAACAGTACTCTTAAAGATTGGCAACACATTGGCAAGTATTGTAGATGCCCATGGGTGGCGTAATCACTTAGCGTCAGGTGAACCGCCTGCTTGCTTCCGACATGAAATAAAATACTATATGGAACAGTCCATCCCATGAACTGCGGTCCATGCAAAACAAATTAAAGAAATAAATACATTAAATGAAATTAAATTAAATAAAAATAAAATAAATGAAGAAACTTTTTTTTATTTGTACAGAAAAATGATCTGGAAACAAGGTGGAAGAACAAATGCCCAGTCTGCCTGCAGCCCTGGAAGGTGCCCACTGTTCTACCCGTTTCTGGGTATGTTTATTATAATTGTCAATTAATCTTATCCTTTAAACCAGCAATTCTCGGAATCTCGGAAACGGCTCCAGCGATTTTCATGAAATTTAGTGTGTGCGTAGATTCGGGGGCGAAAAATCGATCTAGCTAGGTTTCATTTTTAGAAAATGCCCTTTTATCCTTATTTTCAGGGAATGAAAAATATAATTCGAATATGACGTTAATTTCGCCGCAAGAGAAAATGTCTTAATAGCTCGGTCGGTAATCGGGCGGCCCCAAAACAGACGGCCGTGGTTCGCGTCACGATCATTATTTACACATTTGTTTTTTTTACTTTTTTTTCGATTCCAGATCATTGCTTTCTTTATTTTTAATTTTTTGTCGATTTGTTATTTTGTTATTTTTTTCCCTTTTTTTTTTAAAGTTCTTTCTTTTGTGAAAAACATCAGTTCATATTTTCTTATTATTACGTAACGATCGAAAAATGTTATGCATATTTCATTACTCAGTAATTTGTATCTAAATGTAATTTCCAAAATACACGATTTACCAAAAACAAAACAGGTCCTCCGGGTACTAATCATTATAAGATGAAATAAACTGAGTCAAAAACATCAAGAGGCATAAACATTGCCCCAAAAGTATTAAAGAAGTATTTTGGGAAAATGTAAAGTCCACTGATCCATACTGGTGCTTGTGGAACATACATATTCGTACAGTGTTACTTCACACTTTTTGGTGTCTAAAAATGTTTGCAATTCGAAGTATTCGTACTTAACTTTTTACCGCATGATGACGTTTATTAATTTGTCAAGTGGTTTAAGTGCTACCAACGCCATCTAGCGGTACCGATGCATATTCAGTGCTACTAGCGACATCTATCGGTACCAATGTAATGTGATTGTCAATTTGCAGGTTCGTGTTCTGCTACGGTTGCATTTCAAAGCATTTAAGTGCGAACGGTACCTGCCCAGTAACCAGACTACCTACCTCAGAGCGAACACTGGTTCGGCTATACCTTGGCTGATGCAGAACGGATATTTACGACCCTCGGAATGGACGTGGGGTTCCTTACGTTCTGTTTCCATCACCCTCCAATATCTCCCTTTTTCAACCGACTTCAAAAAAGGAGGAGTTTTCAAATCGACTGTATTTTTTTTAATGATTGTTACCTCAGAACTTGGAGTGAACCGATTTTGATGATTCTTTGACTCTTATTATTTGAAAGCTGATGCTTCCCACGTGGTCTCATATTAATCTCATTGGTATTGGATTCAGATACAGAGCAGAGAAAATGAATACAGAGCGAGATATTTCAAGTCGGTTTTGTTTTTCGTTAATAAATATGTGGACTTGTCTTAAAAATGGGGCGTGGTTACCTTGGCAGAGGCGTTTCAATTGATTTTTGTTGTAGTTACAATTTTAAGCGGAAATCAGTTCGAACGGGAATTGCTTTATTTGTTCAATAAGATTCAACATTTTCAAGCACGGGCCACGGTTTGATTGGGTTAATTTAATTTTTTATAATTTTTGTTTATTTTCAGTACTGGTCTGCAGGTCTGCACATAAAATGAAATTTAAAACGTACAAACAAAACACGTTACAAATTGCTTTAATTTTTAATTATATTATATTTTTAAATATATTATTTTAATTTAATTTTGTGTTGTGGCGTATCTTTTTTCGGTAATGTCGCTCGATAATTATTTTTGTATTAGGACAATGTCATATAGCGCCATCTCACAAAAATTTTGATGTTTTGCGGTTTGTATTTTACCATCATATAGCAACAATGTAAGTACCTCAGAAGATTCCGAAAAGGCGCTCTATTAATTTGAAATGAAAAGATTTTTTTTATAAAATCGTGTTTTTCGACGCTATTAAACATAAACTTAAAATCAAAACTGTTCCAAATTCAAATTTGATGATAATCATTGTAGCTGAATGTACTTATACAAGAATTGCGCGAGTTATACAGCGTGTCGTTACCATCGCGACAATAAATGAACACACGTCTAACGCTACTTGCCAATAACCATAAAAAATATTAACGTTAAAAAAATCCATACTTAAAAAAATATTTTTCAAACAAACTAATTAAGTAAAAAAGAAACAAAATTTGTAAATTCCTATACAACTACAACTGACTGATTCATACATTCAGAGACTTTCATTTGTTGCCACAGCGTCGCATTACAAGCCTCTCCTAACGGTATGTTTTGTCTCTTTTAAATTCATTCAACCCATTCATATGCTTTGTGACCTTTACAAATTAACTTTACGTTAGAGTTTTATACGTAAGGGTGTTCTAAAATTCTTTGTTTTGGAAAATTTTATAATTCTGTAAATATTGATGTTTAAAGAATGTAAATGTTTAATACAATTTTTAAAAGTTATCCTCTATATGTGTGTTAATTTATTGTCGCGATGGTAAAGACACGCTGTATAGGTATATAGGTTACCATTGTTTTTATGCTATTTATTATTATGGAAAAACCTTATTTGAGTCTTATTGGTACCAAAACTATGGACTACAATATAATCCTCCCAGCTAATAGAACCTCATCGAGAGGTTATAAATAATTTATGATGTGATGGTTATAAAATTTCTGATGGTGCTTTGTATTTGCCAAAGAAAATTTCATTTATTTGCACAATTTTTTTTAATAAATATGAGAGGTTGGCCGCTCCAAATATAATAGGTGTCAGGCATTTGTGCTTTGAGAGACGAGCCCAATGGGTATATGATTTTAATTCCTACTAGCGACCCACCCGGCTTCGAACGGGACCAATGTATCCTACATCCTCTCGAATCACTCTATCTAGTAAAAAAACCGCATCAAGATCCGTTGCGTAGTTTTAAAGATCTAAGCATACATAGGGACAGACAGACAGACAGCGAGAAGACTGTTTTATGCTATTAGGTCCTACTGATTATTTTGATCTGAAATATCTCCTCCTTGGTTAAGAATTCCAAATTCAAATTTATAAATTCATTTAGCTGGTACATTTGAGTTTTGAAAACAGGCACAATGGAAAACATGAAATATCGGTATATTTACGATATACAGTATTGTGCAGTGCGTTGCTTTAACTTCATCCGTCATTATTTTGGTGCGGCCTATACAGCATTATTCAATATTCGATTGATCAAGTGAATCGATTTTTTTTTCGTTTCTGTAATATCTATTTTTATTTTATTGGTGTAATGCGCAGAAAGGTTTTGATTACAAATTAAGATTATTATTTAAACGGTCGCTTAGCGTAAACTAGCTCTCGTAATTTTGAGACAGTGTTGTACCTTATAATAATTTTTTGTTGGATGTTATTTGTAAATATCGATGATGTTATTTGTTTTCAATATGAATTATAATATTACCCTGTATAAATGCTTTGTTTTCTTTCTTTGAGTGTAACGTTATATGTGATATGGGACATCTAAATTTAAAATTGTATTAGCCCTTTTAAGAATTGGCCTCTTTCAAAGAAAAAGGAGTCCTCTGTGTACTAGAGGCCAAAACAGCAAACTAGTAAATTATTGATGAACGTCTATATCTGGGCATATTTTTACATAACTGCCAAACGCATCGATTGTAATATGGGTATTGATAACCATAATTAAACATACTTTTCTTCTGTAAACAAATATTGTTTTTCCAGTAATAGGGATCGATATAAAATACCCAGACACTAGTGCAGTACATAGTGTCGTATCGTCATCATTACCATCATTTCTGCCTGTTTGTGTCCACTGCTGAACATAGGCCTCTCACACAGACTGCCAGGAATAACGATCCTGAGTCACATGTTTCGATCGACTTCCTGCACATTTGCACAGGTCGTCACTACATCTAGTGGGAGGTCGTGCCACACTGCTATGTTACGAGCTATATGGCCGGCCCATTGCCACTTCAGCTTACCAATGTTCAACCTTTGTTCTACTGCGGATGTCTTCAGTGCCATCATAGCCCACTTGTAGGATCCGTAGCTCAAATGCTAGTGGCTGATGAATTTCTCATACGGCCAAGTAGTGATGTAGAAAAAAAAACAAAAGTCTTATATCGTTACGATGTTCCGGTTCGCGCGTGAAGTCACTCACTGCTAGCGGCTGAACACATTGGATTTAAGACTATTGTTTTCAAAAATTGAGGTAAATTTAACGAGAACATATGTCTCGAACGTTGCCCATCCGACTTGGATTAGCCGATTGACCTCTGCGTCGTAGTAGGGCTTACTTAATTGTCCTGCATAATTATACTTGTCAACAACTTGCTTCGTCAACAACAACCATTATAGACGTGACATGGACATAAGACATGATCTTCGTGTTGTCCATGTTCATCTTAAGGCCCACCGCTTAGGAGAAACTTTTGGGGCCATTGAGCATAGTGTCAAGGTCTTCCGGCGATTCTGCCATGACGGCGAAGACCTAGGTTGAGCCTAAGTTTCGTTGTATAGCACCCTCAATGAGAGCTGTATTATAGTTGCATAAGTATCGCAACATGTTTAGAGATGTGCCTATTAAGTCGCCTGTATTTTGACAAGTGACTTGACAGTTAGCCAAAAATACGCCCGGCCTGAAAATACGCTTCTGAAACACTGATCGTCGTAGAAGTGTCTATCTAGATAAATTTTGATTACACAACGTTTGTCCGGAAGTGGGGATCGAATCTACACCCTCCAGCGCCAATTGGGTCGTCAGGTAATATTAACATTGTCGCTTTTAGTAACAATGTTCTGGAGAAAATTATCAGCCATATTAGATACAAGCTGTTGCTGGATAAATTTTGAAATAAAAAAGTAGGTACTTTTAAATATCTCTCCTTTATTGAACTTAGAGTAAAACTTAGCTAAGTATACAAAAGAAAAATATATCACAGGTTGCGGTAAATAAGGGTACTAAGTAAATTGACAAAGCATAATATTGCAGTTTCGTATTTGATGCAGTTGGCGGCATTGCAGATAAAATAAATTTGTTTTAAATGGAGAATGTGACGGCTTTTAAAACACTCATTTAGTAGGGACTAAGCGAGGATAAAGAGCACTACTTTCTTTCCGATGGAAACTTCCGAGTTTCACTTTATGTACTAAAAGTTGAAATTCAAAAGTTACATAAGATATCGTCTAATTTATTATTGCTTACAAATCGATTCATCTAAGAAAATTTTCTGTTTGTTGTGCGCACTTAAATAATTGAATACAATTAAGGCATAATACTGTTGATGAGTATGACATTAATCTCTTATTGGAGGCCTAAATTCATTGTTTTTAATTACTTTGAAATAGTAAATTTATGAAGCATAATTGAAGTTTGTAATCATTGCCCTGGTCTGTAAGTCATAAAAAACTTCATTGTAAAACATCTTGAATTAATTTGAAACAGTTGGCAAACCTTCTATGATATTATTTGCTATATGTACATCTAACATTTATCCGCGATTCAAAAAATATGAATAATATAAAAATCGAGCCCACCATTCTTCTTCTTTTTATTGGCTTGCTTTGTGAGTTATCACAAATCCGCCAATGTCAAGTTGTTCTTAATATTCTCAATTTTATCCCTCCCAACATTATTTTTTCTACAAATACTTGTTCGACAAAAAAAATGTCAAAAAATTTTTACATACGTCAATGAATCTTTTTTAAATACAATATAATTGTATTACATACAGTATACATTGCATTAGCATTGATTAATGTTGGCATCATCCATTTACCCATTGTTATCCTTAAATATTATAGATTTAATTACATGACTAACAATTAACCGTTATGTTATTTGGTTTTGTTTCCGCTAAAAGCTATCGCATGTATATTTATGAAATAAAGGATTTGAAGAACATATGTAGAGGCAGTTCAACAAGAAGATGCAGAGGTAGGGATGTTAGGTACGTCATAAATATTGTGACGAACCAGTTGCCACCCTGTGAAAAGAAAATGTCGATTTAATAAAAATAATACATTAATCAAAGCTGGGTCTGGGCGATCGATTTTTAATGTGATATATGCATTCAAAAACTTGCAATCAAATCTGTTAATAAAATTTGTTAATATCAACTGTAAGTGTTCAAACTGTTACGGCATCGAAACGATAAAAAAAGGATTCTGAATATTATGTGAAGTCTGCCAATCTGAACTGGGGTAGTATGACATTTTTTTTGACGTGTAGGTACTTTACCACAATATACATAATTATATACTTAATAGTTTTGAACAGTATCAGAGATTGAAAGCACAGACATCGTATATAACAGATGTCAGACATGGGGTGTCATTTGGTCCTTAGCGTTTAGCCATACAAACAATACTCACGATTTCATAAATGGAGGTCCGTGCGAGATTCGTCTTTATTGCTACCTGGGTAAGGTTGTAGCAGAAGTGCACCAACAGGATGGAAAGCGACATACGGCTTAGCGGCCGCCAGCCAGACCACGACATTAGCCGCCAACACGCGTCTAGGAATTGGTAGAAATAAATAATTTGCATGTAACAAAAACAAAGTTAATTTTCATTGTACACACCTACCTATTTTCCTTTGATAAGTTATTTATTTTTAATTATTATTAAAGGTTTGCTGGCAGAAAACTCTGTTTAGGCTTAAGCTCGCCTGTGAAGTAAATAAATTCGAAATTTAAATCGATGAAATGCGTAAAATGTTTCATTTAAAGTAACGTGTGTTTCGGTAACTGCTAAGTTTTTAAACGGTTTTGTTTAGCTCGACCCGTACGGAATTTATTTGTTTATTTATTTGGGTCAAAATTAGAAATTAAAATTTAAGCACCTTCCCGTTGTCAGATTGATCTGAAATTTGGTACACACATTTAATTTAGATGACAATACAATATTGTAATTTTCAGTGCACATAAAATAAAACCGTTTAACTTAAAAGTTTTTAAACGGTTTTATTTAATGATTAAAATAAAGCTTGAATCACAACCATAACTTATGAAAATACGCGAGATATGTATATTAATTACTACGTTGTGTTTCCCCGCATCTATGTTTGCATAAGGTCGTATGGAACGAGTATTTTAGTTCATATCACTACGTAGTATAAAACAAAGTCGATCCGCTGTCTGTCTCTCTCTATATAATGCTTAGATCTTTAAAACTACGCAACGGGTTTTGATGCGGTTTTCTATAATAGATTATATGCATAATTCATGCGTAATATAGAAGAGAGTTACTGATAATTTTAGAGGTTTCTAATGCAATGTCGAAAACAAACATTGCACCCGAGTGAAGCCGGGGCCGGCCGCTAGTAAATATGTATACATATGATAGATTAAACTATTAAGAAATGGCCGCTTACTGTCAATCTTGTGGATAAATCCGAACATTGCGACGACTATGAGGACGCAGAAGACGGGGCGGTCGAGGGCGGCGTAGACGGCCGTGACCAGCCGCGACTGGGTGTCCTTCACCAGGCAACCTGACAGCACCCAGATGAGGCACAGCGGCAAGGAGCACCGGTACATGACGCGGAAGGTCTGCGTGGGGACAGGAAAAGTGAAGTGAGGTGACAGCCTATCATGTTCCAGCTTCTTGCCGGTGGGCCGTGATAGCTCATTGTCCGGGCGCTCGCTTCTAATTCCATGTACTCGAGCAACCTAAGTTCGATCACCGGCGCCGGCACCAATGAAATTGTTAATGGAAAACATCGTGAGGAAACCTGCATATTTTCGAAATAATAACAAAAAAAATATATATTTCGATATGTGAAGTCCGCCCTATGCCCTGATACCCTCAGTACAGAGGTGGCCTTTGCCCGGCAGTGGGACATTTATAGGCTGTTACTTTACTTTATTTTTTCTTGCCGGTCTCTTGTCAACAGAACTTGCCTTCCGAACCGGTGGTAACTCACTTACGCAATTATGTATTAATTATTTAAGTAAAAGTCGACGTTTCGTAAGAACGCGCAAACGTCTATTTGAATAAAGAAAGATATTTTGAATTAGAATTTGAGCGTTGTACAAATCCCTCCTCTGTACAACGGGTATTAGGGCATAGTCCCCCACTCGATCTTCTAATTTTTCTTAGTAATAATTTCGAAGATATGAAGGTTCACAATGCTCGTCGTGATAAATCACCATATAAAATTGAAATTAACAATTTCATTTGTGACCACCACTGAAATTTGAACGCGGGTTTCTCTAGTATAATATCGAGTAATAATTAAAAATAAATATCTCGCTCAGTATAAATGTTATAATTGATTTTCAGGAGTTCCCCATGTGTCTCCGGAGCCCAACATCCAATACCGATGAAATGAATATGGGACCACATGGGAGGCACAAGCTTAAAAAAGGGAATAAAAAAATAGAATCATTAAAATCGGTTCCATTAGTCGATAGTTCTGAGGTAACAAACATAAAAAAAATACAGTCGAACTGGGAACTCCCTACGTTTTTGCTTTAGAGCTATCAGGGCTAAGGAAATGATATAATAGTAATGACAACCGCCAAATAGACAGTGGAGTTGTTCATGATGTTTGCCAATCTCGAAAAATATAAATACGCCTATTTTAGGCCAGTGTTCCATGAGGCAGTGGTTCTCTTCCTTCTTTGCCTTTGCTTCTTAGTCTACTTCTGCGTGGCTAGAGTTCCACAAGAGTATATTTGCCATGCCATGCTTTTTTTCCTACTGGCGTTGTTTAGGAATGAGCTGTCCAAGTTTACCACTTAAAAAAGTTGTGCAGTAATAAGGCCTTACGCCTTGACTTGACGCTGAGGGTTTAAGGAGCATCTCGTACACACTATTTATAAAAAAAGAAAGTAATAAAGTCTCAAGTAATAAAACGGGCTCTATGAAGTACTGTTTCTACTGGAGAATGATATATTTTTACTATAACTTTAAAAGAATGGAATAAAGGAGTTATTGAAAGTCTTGACGACCCGATGGGCGTAGTGGGCAGTGACCCTGCCTCTTGCGCCAGAGGGTGTGGGCTCGATTACCACTACTGGGAACATATTGTGTGATGAACATACTGTTTTTCCAGTGCTTCTGGGTGTTTATATATTTATAATATGTATTTATGTACAAAAGAAAATCATGTTTAAGTATGTTTATTACTTATCTAGTACCCATAGTACAAGCGTTGCTTAGTTCGTTCTAGAAAGAGTTTTGTAAAAATGTGTCCTGAAATAAAGGACGGTATCTAACGACCAATCCATACTAATATTATAAATGCGAAAGTAGCTCTGTCTGTCTGTCTCGCTTTCACGCCAAAACTACAGAACCGATTTAAATAAAATTTGGTACACAGATAAGCTGAGAAAGCACATAGGCTTTTTTTAATTGGAAAAAGGGTTATAAAGTGTTCTTAAAGGGGAAAGATATAAATAATATTTATTTAGGGTGTCAACGCGAGCGAAGCCACGGGAAAAGCTAGTAGTTTATATTTTAATATATCATAAAGCAGAGTGGACTAAATGAAGTGTTTTACTCGTTATGTTTATTAACTCAGTATCGTACCAAGCTCTCTTCGGGCTTAAAATTGTTCTTCTGCCAGTGGTAGAGAAGGAAAGCTGCCAACAGTCCGAGGAGTGAGGAGGGCAGGCTGCCCCACGGAGCCATGTACATCCAGTTGAAAGATGGTTCTGCGGTGTACTGATGCCGTAACAGTCTGAATGAGATACGTACACATGAAACGGTATCACTTTAATGACATTATACAAAAAGAAAACTACACTAGTTAACGCTCGGTATCATTTTTTCAATTAAACAAAAATTAAACACGAGATGTACTTTGTTATTTCATTAAAATAAAATATATTATATAGCTAGAACGAATAAGTTAATAAATTGATATATTTTAATGGGAAATTCGTGCAGAACAGTATGAATTAGCAAAATATTGTATTGTAGCCTATGGTGGTGAGTACGTGTATGGTTTGATTAAGAAAAGTATTCTGCGACTTATAAATATTATGGAAAATATATTCACCGAATAAGCTACATCCAAAGCACATTTAATTCAAACGCATTCATCTGAGCATGAAAAGTTAACTAATGTACAAAACTTTGGCATATATAAGACTAATACCGAACAATTTTAATAAGTAGTAATTGAAGTAAATAAACACTTACTCGGGGTACGTGAGGAACAGTATCGCTTTGAGGTCAAAGTAGTAGGCGATTGCGAAATTGCCGAGTACCGAGAAGAGGAAGAGGCCCGCTAGGATCTTGACGGCGCGCCAAGGGGAACGGCCCAGAGTCAGGGTCAGGAAGCTGGCCAGAATGTACAGTTGCATGTCGACTGCCAGGAACCTGAAACCAATGACGTCAGCGATCACTTTCTTTTTTCATGCACAGCATGTTAATAGCCAGTTACATGACCATTAATCATGGAGTATTTAAGTATGTAATTGCATGGCGGTCTGTGGAAACAACAAGTACTACACACTGTGTAGTACTTGTTGTTTCCACACACTGTGTAGTACTTGTTGTTTATCTCATTTTCTGGCTGAGTTCATATATCGGCATTAATGGAGTTTGAAACATTCTACTAAACCCTTAGCGACGGGGAAACATTCTAATCAAATCTAATCCCCCAACGAAATAACAGGGCACTATATCTGGCTTGTAGAACTCTAGGTTTTACCCGTTGCAGCCACTGGTTGCCATTATCATCGTTATCATTTCAAATTATATTCGGGTTTTGGCATTTTGATATTTCTAGATTATTTTACCGTTCGACTTTCTCACGCCACACCTCGTTAACTCCATATGATGGGAAGAATTCACAAAACTGATGTTGATTTATTATTAGTACAGGCTGATTATACAATAAATTTTTGCCTTGATTTTCATCTTGAAAATCAATTTTTCTTACTGGGCTTGATTCTTTGTCTGCACGTCCTGCACTACGTGCCCGTGGTCGCGTCGTGGCCTCGAATCTAAAGGTCCCTTAGTCCATTTTGAAAAGATCTTACACTCACCAAGTCTGAATGAGACACTTGTCGTCGGGCATCACGAAGTTGTTGATGTAGAGCAACTGGGTCCACCACTTGGCCCGACAGCGGGCGCATTCTGCTTCGACCAGTGGCGCCCACGTGGCGCCGTCGCTCGACAACCGCCACCACGTGGTGACAAACCCAATCATGAACACGTATAGCGGCGTTATCCTGTCGAGGGCGATGATTCACTTGTCTTAACGGTCAACTGGACAACTTTAAAACGTCGGGCTATAGGTCTTAAAAGATCGGGGCTAATGAGACCACGACTTTACGTGGTTGTGAGGCAACCGGAGAAGCGTCCTTTATGAATAAAGGCACCAATAATTCTAATGACTATGCAGATAACAGCGATAGAGCCCGTTGTCGCACTTAAGGGCAGGTCCGTCCGGGGAAGTACCACCTCGCATGAGACCGGTGTAAAGTGGAAGTGTTCTGCTTCCACGTTTCTTAAGATGAGTGAGGTAACCGGAACCCACTTTGTTGAATGGTGGCAAAGCATCTATGATGCTACGGGTGTTGCAATCTCCAAGGGTGGCAATGATTTTTAGCTCAACTTTCTTTTGTCTCCTATTATAAAAACTAAGCTAATACTTGTCAGAAACTAGGGAGTTCCGCGGTGTTGTCGTTTTCTTCGGAAATATCTGTTCCTTTCAGAAGACTTCTCAGAAATCTTCATTTCAAGTTAAAGCATTTACAATTATGCCGTTCGTCTGAACAGAGGAAAATATAGGATAAAATAGATGTGATCAACGAAAGGAATCGTTGACCTCAATAACAAGTCAAGATCCCCAAAATATTTGTATCAAATTACACTTAATTTTCAATTATTAATTTGTCTTATGCGTTCTCACACAAGTGTACTAATTTGCAAAGTTTTACCTCATGAAAAAGACATGAAATGCAATTGATAACGGTTATAACTTTTTAGTTTGTGAAAAAGACATGAAATGCAATTGATAACGGTTATAACTTGGAATCATTGGTAAATGTTACAAAGTTGTTATTGGTTGCCATGGTAATAGCATCAAAGTTATCTCACCTCGAAATGCGGTTCAACAGAACATTTGGATACATGCTGAGGTTCAGCTGTTTCTTCGGGTTGTTCTCGACGTAAATGATCAGGTTGTAAGCGAGTAGGAAGCTGGAGAGCATAATGAAGGACTGCACCACCACAGAGCCATTGTGGAGCAAGGTTGAGGCTGGATGCCGGTTCGCCTGCCATTAGAAACAGATTAAATGTTAACAACAAATAAAAAAGTAAAAGTTCGTCTTTGCCATCATGTCTGTGCAGCGTCTTATGAACTGAATTGGCGTTCTCGAATTTATTCTTGTCACTACGCAATTTAACTCAACAAAGAACGCAAGTTGTAAAAAAATAAATAATTAAATGAGGTTATATTTTCATACAATCTAAACAAATCTATTTTCAAATTCGCATAATTCTGAGGACATCTGCAAGTTTTTTAAATAAAATTCGAAAGTCACAAAAATATGTGTATATTTTAGTATGCAAAAAAGTAGATCAGTATGCAAAAACTAAATACACGAGGCAGAATGATGCAGTCCAAATTCAATTGTGAGAACGAGTTTTTAAAGACAACAAATAAACTTACACGTTCCAAAAATTGAGGATTGTGTATGTAGGTGGCGTGGTAGACAATCACAGAATGAGCTAGCATCACAAGAATTAGAGTGAGTGCCCTGAAATGGTAAAAACAAACGAATTTATAATTTGTTTTTCGTAATATTGAGAAAAATAAGGAAGAAGTTGTATTTTCGAATAATTAAAAACAATTTTAAATCGGTACTGATAACAATTATACATGGGTATACCAATCTAAGATGCGTCAAGTTATGGGAACAACACGCTGGCAAATTTAAATGCTGGATAGTAAAATAAATAAAAAAATATCGCTTTTATAGTATTTTGTTGCATAAGTTTGATTTTTTCGTTGATTGATGTTAGCGCTTTCTGTACGATGGGTATTAGCTTCATTTCAAACTCTAATTCTAATTCTAATATCTTTATTCAATATGGAGCGTAACGTTTTTTTAAAATTTTTTTAAATTATTATCTTAATTTTTATGGCGAGCGTAACACTTACTTATTGATTGTCAAAACGCTACCACCGGTTCAGAAGAAGCTTGAACTGATAAGAACCGGTGAAAGAAACTCAGCGGGACATTTTTTTTTTCTTCTTCCATAGAGCTCGTGGAAAAGCTCGGTTCCTAATGGCTTATTATATCCTTACTTAAGGAGAACGCGTGGGATATCCGTGCATTTAGATCAATTTTATTTATTAACAAAAAACAAAATCGACTTCAAATATCTCGCTCTGTGTTCATTTCATAACTGTTTCTCAGGAATTCCCTACTTATCTCCGGAGCCCAAGATCCAATACCAATGAAATTAGTATCGAACCACATTGGAAGCACCAGCTTTCAAATAAGAAAAGAATCATCAAAATCGTTGTTGAACGTTCTGACGTAACAAACATAAAAAAATACGATCGAATTGAGAACATCCTCCTTTTTTGAAGTCGGTTGAAAATTAGGTTATTTCCATACTGAGATCTTATAGATAATACCCATATCTAAGATTTTTATCTTTACAGTTACCGGCTATCGACATCACGGTACCGAACCTCACTGTAAAATATATTTTTTTAAATATGGATTCTTTTAACTTTTATAATTTTGTATAATTATTGTCAAGTAGCGATAGAAGTGTGTTCATTTATCGTCACTATTCTGTTTAATCTTCCTACTTGAACCGATCACTATTAGCATGCCTAACTAAAAAGTTACTTTATTTATATAAAATTTAATTTAGTTAAACTTAAATGAACAGGTTAATGGTAGTTGTTCAATGTCCGAGGGTTGGTTAGATAACGTGATATTATTTTTCCTTTTAATAGATTTCATTTCAATCATACTAACAATAAACTCTTTCTTCTAATTGTTTGATTTCACCAACCAAAACAATTCGTACCGTAAAACATCTACCTATAGGTATCTGAAGAAAAAAAAACCATAACAGAAGAAAAAGAAACCACGACAGAAGAAAAAGAAACCATAACAGAAGAAAAAGAAACCACGACAGAAGAAAAAGAACCCATGACAGGTGCCGGCTAGATTCTTTTTCTTTTTTTTCCCTTTTTGGCAGTTTTGAATTAATACGCCAAGGAGCACTGTTAATTCTCAAAGACTGTTAGTTATTATTCAACATAGTTGATATTATAGTAACTCTGCATGACAATGCAGTGTGAAAATACAATGACTTATTTGATAGCTATTATTTTGGCAGTGTGTGCTGACTCATCTAAAACGTAAGTCATAGATTGAATTTAAAAGAGATCTGTCTTTATCCTGGCTTTAAATAATTGCACTTGCGCAGAAAGCTCACGAAATCTTCCGTCTACCGCGTAACGTGTCATTGAGATTAATTACCTCATTACAATTCGATTGTGAAATCTCGATATAAGTTAACAATATCAAGCTATCATTCATTTGTGCGTTAATCGTAGCAATCGATCTTTTATGACCATATTAGTATTATTATCGTGGTCGTCGCATTTAAATTAATTATGGATTTATTGATTGGGTAAAGCATTGCTACAATTTGTAGAAGAAATGCAACTTAGAAAAGATACAATATTCATATAAAATAATTTAGCTTACACTCTCTAATAAATAATTTTTTTTTATTCACATTTTGCGTAACGGCTTGTTTTCAATTCTTTACATAGTGAGATGATAATTTAAAAAGCCAAAGTATGCCGTACAATACTTATAAGTACAATCAATAATTAATAATACTTATCAATATAAATAACTAGTATAACGATATTAAATGATATTAAAGTTTTTATAGTGCTAATCTCTGCACTTAAGATTGAACATTAAAACACGTAGAAAAAGTACGAAAATATTGGTTGACGTGAACAACGGTTGGTCAACCGTGTAGCTCAGTGGCTAGGCCACGAATGCCGAAGACGTGGGTTCGATTCCCACAGCAGCGACAATCTTTTCGTACTCTTTCTACATGTTTTGGTATTAAATGATGATTATTATTCCCTAAATACGATTAAAAATTAGTTTCTTTGTCATTTATTGTCTCATCAACATGCCTATGGTTACTTGATTTATTGTCATTAAGTAATATAATAATATAGAACCCATAGGAAGACACTAATGCTATTTCATTATTGTTACACTTGGTTTTATATGCGAAATTTTGTTCGCAGGTCAGTTTAACGCCCACCCAACCCTTACCTTTTACCTCCTACCTTCTAAAGCTTTTTATAGTATTCTACCATCTTTGTATAACGAGGTTCCAAGTGAAATGCATATGAAGATTGAAAAAACGGGTATATTTTATAGATGAAGCTATAAAATAATATTCACAGCAACTTTAGTAAGCAATACTTACTTCATGCCGTGGATAGATTGAAAGGCTGAAAGCCTAGGGTCGCCATTTTCATATGGATCTGTAAGCCGCCTCCAATTCTGGGCAATCGACCAGGCCATCAAGAAACGATTAGCTGCAAGACATCATAAAACAAGTCAATTTTTTATCAACGAAAAACAAAACCTACTTCAAATATCTCGCTCTGTATCCATTTTATAATTGATTTTCAGGAGTTCCCTATATTCGGAGCCCAAGATCCAATACCAATGAAATTAATATGGGACCACGTGGGAAGCGCTAGCTACGAAATAAAAAAGAATGATCAAAATCTGTTCTCCCAGTCGAAAGTTCTGAGGTAAGAAACATAAAAAAAACAGTCGAATTCAAAACCTCCTCCTTTTTTAATGTCGGTTGATCAGTGTTTGCTTCATTCAAATGGCATAGACAATATTCTGTTAATTCTAGCGCCGATTGGTTTAATATTGAATCTCATTATATAAGCCATATAAACATAGTATATTGTAATTAAAAGGACATGTAAGAATATATTAGGTAATCTGACTAATTTTGTTTTTTTTTTTTTAAATCTTTGCTGCAAATTTACATTGAAACGGAATCCTAGAGCAATCCCCATTGTTAATCCATCTCATTTGCGGTAATTTTTTTAAAAAAAATCGACATTTAAATTGGAGATAATTATGCAAAAAATCCCATTGTATTTTCTTTATAATTTGGCTAACATTAGATATACTATTATAATATACTATACTATATGTGTAAAAAGACATTGGATCTTTTCAATATGGCCACGCAATAAGCCTGAATAGCTGCAGAGTCTATCTTAATACAAAGTTCGCTTTTGATGGTTTTTCTTTGTATGAAAATCAGCCAATAAAAACTAATTTGTTCAATTAAGCTTAATATGGTTATCTTACATCGCTAATGAATATCACAGCAACGTTATTTATCAACTTTGTACATTATAACCATCGTAAACATCCTAATAACATGTTATGGACATGCAAACTCATCGAAGAAAATTAATCTGGGGTGATTGACCTTAATCGCGCAATCTACGTCTAAAATGCAAGCAGACTTGTAATTGTTGATTTAATAGAATGGAGTTTTCCGTCTGCGTTCATAACAGATTATTAAGCAATTATACGATACGACACGAGTCTATTATGTTAAGAGGTAACAATGTAGCTGCTATCCGTGCAAAAAGAAACACTTAAATTTCTCCAACAAGAACGAGATAAGCCTTGGAGTATTATTGGGGTTGATATAGCGTACTTTTTCTACATGTTTTAATGTTTAATCTTAAGTGCAGAGATTAGCACTATAAAAAACTTTAAAATTTATAAAAAGCAATGGCGACATCTCTCGTTCGAATTATCGTTGTAAAACGATATTCGCAATTGTTTGTATGCTGGAAAGGATATAACAATAGATGCGCCAAGCATTGCTTCAAATGCTAAATAACAATGTAGAAACAAGGCGTTTTTGAAGATTTTCGTCGCTGTGGCTATCAGCCGTTTAGTTCAGTGGCTAGAGCGAAGGAAAACGTTGTGAGGAACCCTGCATATTTTCGAAACAATAACAAAGTAAGAACATTACGAAGAAATATGAAGTGCGCCAATCCGTAGTGCGTTCGCTTGGCAGTGCCCGAATATGAGCAGAGGAGGCCTCTGCCCAGCCGTGGGACATTATATGGACTTTAGTTTACTCACGTTTGCGGTCAACATTGCGGAAGAAGTCGTAAGCCGTTCCGATGACGTTCATCAGGAGTATGGCTGCGCAGGCGTAGGCGAAAGCGACGTCGAGGCCGTCGATGGCCGGCGGCGGGGTTCTACTAGTCTTGCAATAGTCCAGACTGCTCAGCTTCGCGTCCAGGCCGTAGAGCCCTTTAGTGAGGTTCCTCACGCACTTAACGAAGGTCCTGCTGATTGATGGCTCCTCGATGTGGTGGCATCTGCTGTTGACGCAGAAGCCGCGGTGGACACGTGTGTGGTTAAAGTTGGTGCGCTGTTCGGAGAATTTCTAGAACAATGTCCTCATCTTTAAATGACGATCCGAACGGCTTAGTGGGTAGTGTAACTGCCTCCTGCGCTAGAAGGTGTGGGTTCGATCCCCGCTACTGGAAAAATATTATGTGGAGAACATAGTGTTTTTCTTGAGTCTTTATGAGCGTTTATACAGGGAGTCTTTTTTAAAGGTGCCCAAATTTACACAGGAGGTTCAGACTCGGTAGTATAATCGTTTATTGAAATAAAAAGAAACTTTTTTCAAAATAATTACCATTCTATTCCCTAAAAACAGAACTTGTTGACGACGCGGTAGTCATTCATATATACCTAAATTTTACTGTTCACGCACACAAACGAACTTGTGTGCGTGTTAGTTGCGTATAAATCACGCACTTTTTAGACAAGTTCAAATGAATGTAATTAATTACTCAAGAGTGATTTAAAATATTTATCATTTTTTATATTACATTATATTTAATTATACATATACTGTTGGACCGGACCTGTTGTCCTGTACACACGTCTTAAATTAGAAAATTTCAAACTTTCTTGAATAACTTTGTGAATCTAAACCAGTCTCGAATCCATCTGAACACACACAATAACACATTCAAATCGGCCAAACCGTTTAGGAGTTCAGTGACACACACACGTACAGAAGAATTATATATATCGATGGCTCCTACGTAAAGGGGCGAAACTGCCGCTCACGCCTTTTCCAATTATTAGCGCAATAAGTTCATATTGCCCTATTCTATGAAAATAAAAAACCAAAAAATTTTTTCTTGTTAAATTCAAAATTAAATTTTAGGCAAATAGGCGTACGTGCACGAATTAGTCGCGTATAAAGCCTCGTGGACGATTGGTCCATGTACGGTGTAGAGTAATCGCGTCGGAGATGTGGCAAAGGGCCGGAGGTACACCGCTTCCGTCTGTTTTCTCAGTTTTTGGCGATTGTCTTTTATAATAGCTATGCTCGTGCCTTTTTAGCGAAAATTAATTTGTAACTTAGCTAGTTTAAACGAAAATGATACCAAAACCGGTGTGTAATTTACAAGACCCCAAAAAACTATAAATAAACACAACAGCACTGATTTAAGCATCGCAGGCGAGCCTCGTAACCAAAATAATAATACTGAATGTCCAGGTAAGATTATATTGGAACGAAGTTCCTTACGGCAGGCTTGGAGGGGATAGGGATTTTGCTGGGCGACCGAACTGAAAAAAATGTGATAGTAAAACCGTAAGAAAAAATCCGTGGAAAAAAGTGCGTGGAATAAAACCGTTAAATGAGACGTGCGCAGGCGCGACAGTCGCATACACAAGCAAGTAGTGTATAATTTTGTTATTTTAGTTGATAATTTGAATTACGATGTTTTTTTATTTTAAGTAATTTATTATTTCCTAAAATACTGAATTTCCTAAATACTTTCTTGTACTTAAATAAAAACTAATCAGCAAAATTTAAGAGAAAAATCAAGAAAACCTACATAAAATTGAGCACGATATTTTTTGCAATTTGTGTCGATTCTACATTAGCCGAAGGAACTTCGTTCCTACCTGGTGTCCCACGACACAACACATAATTTTTTTTTTACTTTTTAATAAATATATGAACATTATATTAGAGAGTTAAAAATTTTATTTCATTATCATGAAATTTATCTTTATAAATATTAATTAACTGAAAACCTCGTATAGAGATGTAAGATACCATCTGCCTTTTGACGTAGTTCGGTTTTCGTTTTTTCAGATGCGCCATTTTCTTAAACATTATATTTTTCGTAAAATGAAAAATATTTTACAAATTTCATACTTAACGAATATTACTATGTGTCTGGCTTACTAAGATAACGCCCTCATTACTTAGGTGTTATCCTCTTAATAACATTTTTTAGTATAAAGACATATTTTAATACTGATTCTCGTATATGGGAGGAAGATCACAAAAGCCTTTTTTACGTGGAGTAACAAAATATGAACAAAAGAAAATCAACGATGTAAAGAGTCGAAAGTGCAAAATCTCGAAGTATATTCAAATTGCACAAAAATTTGATTATCGACCCAAAATACCTTTCTGAATACTTTAAACTGCTCTCCTGTAAAATTTGATGTTTTCATTTAGGGAACTTAGTTTACCTTGGAGCCATCGATATACGTAAAAGTTAAGTAAAGCAACTGATAAATTGTTTAAATGTTATAATTATATTTTAAGGCTTCCCTCATTGATGTCACCGACCTTTTTTCATTCCCAGTTTAAATATACACGCAATTTACAAAACATAATTTGTTTAGGTCATTACAATTATAGCAAAAGTATATATATTGTTTACTTACAAGTGATGGCGTCTACGTTTTAAATAAATTTGCAAGGTTTAGCTGAAATCTTTTAAAAGGCAAACCACTGCTCTTATGACTAACGACCCTGGCAATACCTTTAATAGTTAATTTTAAACATAATTATTTATGCCAATCTCACATGGTATTAAGGTCTAGACGATCTACTTAAAACAGGAAACAAGGTTAAAAATGGAACGATAAATGATTTATTAATCATATTATATTTAGTTATTACTAGAAATATTTTTTTGCTTCCTTTTATCAAATAAGTGGGGATTACCACATGATTATGAAGACGACATAATTAAAAAGTAAAGTACTTGGTGTACTTATATTTTCGATATATTTCCTTTGACACTATTTCGAAAATATGCAGGTTTCCTCACGATGTTTTCCATCATCGCAGAGCCCGTGATAAGTCAAAACTCGCCGGATAACACTACAACCTCAGCTAGTGTAACAGCAAACGCAATAGTTTGCCCTCGCCTCCGAGAACGGCGAGACCAACACAACGCGTACACAAGGTACACTCGCGTTCCAGGGCGGTTGTCACCGCCCCCAGCCACCGATTAGCTAAACACACAGTCGACGGCAATCGGGGTTTCGGTCCGCACCGCAACCTCGATGGCCCTTAGATGACATGCCGTAGTTAAACGCAAGCATGAGCACATGCGTGGCCCTACCCATAGCGGAGGGCCCAAACCCGTGGGTTCTGGCTAGCCCACCAGTTCTGCGTCAGATGAAGCTTTAATAGTCTCGGGACTGAAAGCACAAACATCGGTTAATACAAGATACAAGAACTCAAAACTTAAAATTAACAATTTCATTGGTGCCGGCGCTGGGGATTGAACTCGGGTTGCCGTTATACAGAATTAAAAGCGAAGACAAGGACAATGATGGATAAACGGCTTACATACGGCTATATATAAATACGGTTTATACACTGAGGCAATAAGCTCTATAGAAGAGACGACATAGGTTTTGAAAAAGAAAATGACTATTGTTACACCTATAAGATCATTTATTTTTCAAATAAATTACTAATAATATTATCATTCATAATTTTATCAAAGTTAACGTTTTAATTGAAATCATTAAAATCTTGCCCCCCATAATATTCATAAATTTTTAGCCCTGCACTCCGTAAAGTAAAATATTCGAAGACTGTTCTTTAAAGTTGAATCATTCAGAACTTCACTTTAGGTATGTTATGACATAATTATAAAGTTCATAAGCTCTGAAAAAAAGGATTCTTCGCACTGTCCAGTATTGAACTAGTTTTCATCGTAGTTAAAATAATAAAGAAACATTTTTGGAGTAATTAGCTTTTAATTTATTCATGACCTCTATTAATTTAATGTGCAATAACATAACGCTAGTGCGGATTTTTTACGATCGGAATTGGCGAGGTCAATGCTATCTCTGTTTTCGTATCAAATGCATGAAGGTCGAAGAATATTTTTTAAGGAAAATATTGTTAGTGTCTTTTCCCGCCGTAGATTATTTTGTTTCTTATCTTGTAACTCACCCACTGGACAGTTATCATTGCTTTGCGGGAAATATTACAAACATGAAAATCACTGATACAAGGTACAAACCACAGAAACAAAAAAAGTGCACATATAAAATGTTAACCGTTATATATAGCCGTGATAGCTCAGTGACCGCGAATACTTGAGCAACCTAAGTTCGATCCCCGGCGTCGGCTCCAATGAAATTGATGATTTAAGTGCTGACTTATCACTTGCTCAGCGGTGAAGGAAAAAATCGTAAGGAAACCTGTATGTTTCGAAATAATAACAATAAAAATATTTCGAAGATATGTGAAGTCCGCCAATCCGCAGTGGGCCGCGTGGACTATGCCCTGATACCATCTGTACAGAGGCTTTTGCCCAGTTGTGGGACATGTATAGGCTGATACTTTACAATATTTAAAGAAATAATAATTACATAAAAAGCAAAAATAAAAATTACATCTTTGAGCTTTAGTTTTGCATAGCCTTCCTTAAACTTTATAGAAAATAAATCACGATTAAAACTAAACGAAAAATAGAAGGAAAACGGGGAAGAGGACGAAGACGAATAGCATGGAGTGACAATTTGAAAAAAAAAACAGAAAAATAAACGCCCGCGAAACGTCCTCATCGACCCGGTCGAGGAAGGGGACTTAGATATGCCGGACCCACCGCCGGGGGTCCCGCCGGATAACACTACACCCATAGTTAGTGCAACAACAAACATACTAGTTCGCCCTCGCCTCCGAGCACGGCGAGACCAACACAACGCGTACACAAGGTACACCCGCGTTCCGGGGCGGTTCTCACCGCTCCCAGCCACCGATTAGCTAATTGCATAGTCGACGGGGTTTCGGTCCGAACCGCGACCTCGATGGCCCTTAGATGACACACCATACTTAAACGCACGCATGAGCACATGCGTGGCCCTACCCACAGCGGAGGGCCCAAACCCTTGGGTTCTGGCTAGCCCACCGGTTCTGCGTCAGATGAAGCTTTAATAGTCTCGGGACTGAAAGCACAAACATCAGTTAATACAAGATACAAGATACAAGATTTGAAAAATAGACATCAAAGACGCCGTCAGTCTTTGTAGATTCAAATCGCAGATCGTACTTCGAAATAGTACACCTTTTTCTGCCTTGTTACCGTTAAATATAATGATAAATGGTAAATACCGGTCGATTTGACGTTTCTTCTCAATTTGGTATTAAGTCAGGCGTACTTCTAAACTTATACGTACGTAATCAAAAACGATGCCTTCGGAACGAATAAATAAGAAAATACATTTATTTAAAATTAAAACCCGAATATTTGTAAGAAAAAAAAAGTTTGAAATCAACTTCAAATCACTCAATAAACTTGTAAAATATAAAAAATAAAACAAGTGAAAAAAATCTTTAAGCTAATTAGTATCAAAGTGACAAGAGAGCTGGTTCTTTTCTCGCTCAAAGGTTAAGCATAACTATTCAGCGAGGAAATGCAGCTAGCGTTCTTGGCACCATGCCGCGTGGATTAGGTTTATTAGATAATATGTAATTTTAGATAGATTTAATCTTGTAAATATTAGATCAATAAAGATTGTAAATATAAAAAAAAGAAAGAAAAAATTAGTATCAAAATGATGTTAAATACAACATTAACATTAGTGACCGGTGTTTTAAAAAAAATACGCATTATTCCTCAATTTTTTTATTGTTCCGTTACTCGTGCTGATGTGTTTATTATAATCAAGATATATCAGAAACATAAACTATTCAGATTTTTTAATTGGCGAAAAGAAAAATCAATCAAGAATTCGAAAGTAGCAAAGGATTATTCAAAAAAATTCGGGTGGAACTTATGAATTTGTTGATTGTCATTGCAATTTGAATCTCAATTTCAATTCGTTTAAGTATAATAGGATATAGTTAAACTGACAGCTGTCCGAGAAAAGGGACAGTCCCGTTCAAAACGGGACGTATGTTCAGTTTAGATATAGTAAATTATATGCAGCAAATTGTGAATATTAAATGTGATTACGCGATTACTGACGTCTTGTTACAATCCCGAGATCAATGTCGCGCGTACCGGTATGACCAATCGTTTTCGTTTCGCGGATTTCTTACTTGGATCTCATTGTTCTGTATCCTTAAGATAGGTTCTGAGAATAAGTGAACCGCGTCTCGAAGTTGTTTGTGATAGAGTTTGTTGAGACATGTCGAAGGACGTCCTGCGGTGTATACGTCACCCGTAATAGGATGCCGAAAGTGAAGAAAAATTTTTTTTTTTTTTTATGCGAAAAGTTATCAAATATCGATATTTATAAAAAAATATATATTTTTAACGTCTGTTGTCCAAAAAAGAAACGTATGCCAAGTATTAAATACTTGTAGGTACGCACTCTGTCCCGGATACGAATTTGAAAAAAATATCGTTTGTGATACGACTTTGAATTTATATCGATATATCGCAAGATAATATATGGGCTAAAAATATCAATGTATCGATATTTTTTCGGCATCCTTAACCCGCAGCCCGCCAACACAATTTCCGTTTGACTTCTGGTCAGTGCGTTATGTTACATAATGAATGAATTAATTTTTGTTGCCAGAATATGGTAGTACATTGTGATGTTGTACCAAAAATATCATAATTTTGATGCAACATATTCAGCTGACTTCGGCATACTAATGTCAATTTGATATTAAATTACACAATAGGCAGCCCCAAGCGCGATTTACTCGATGCATTGCAAAGAGACTCAGGTATGAATTCTATATGTCTAGTGTTTGTATGAGGTACAGAAATTGTTCCGCATATTGTTGTTCGTCCTTGTGTACTTTGTGTGATCTGTCTATAGATATTAATTAGATATCTATTAAGGTTATCTTTATCTGTAGAAACTTTTAGAATGGTAAGACTATGTTATTATTTTTAATTTGTTGTGTTTATTATTACAAATAATATGTCTGTGTGTAAGCACGGTCGAGTTTTTTGCGGCCTATCGGTATTTTCCACGTCTATCACAACGCCCTTTTGTGTCGGAATAATAGTTGAACTTTGAACTAACGCAAGGCGAATTGAATCTAGATAAATCATTTATCTTTTTTTTCTTCAAACGTCATTTAAGCTACGTCGAGAATTGAACCTGGAAGTGACTTGTACATAACATGACCAGTCATCCGAATCTAATATATTCAATTCTCGTGTCACGGTGTTTGTAATTGAACTCCTCAGAAACGGCTTGACCGATTTTCGTGAAATTTTGTTTGCACATTGGCCAGGGTGGAGAATCGGACAACATCTATTTTCATCCCCGTAAATGTTAAGGGTGGTCCACCACAAATACTTTTTTCTACCCTACAAATAATTTATATGGCAAAACAACGTTTGCCGGGTCAGCGGTAATTACATAAATTTAACTGTACATATGTGGAGTACAAGAGGATTTAGCGTAAAAGAATCACTTACTTGTATGACGTTGAACAATCGGCTGTTAGATGACTCCACGAGGTCGAAGGTTCCCATACAGAAGGCACCTCTTCGCTGCGAGAGGCATACCTCGTAATCGTCCAGCTGGAACAGCTGGGGCATCTGGTGGTACTGTTCATCTAGAAGTAAAGGATCGATTAAATAAAGTCATAAAACATATGATGATTCTGGATCTTTTGTGGGAACACATTTGACCATCCTGTCTGGGGAGTAGTAAGGGCTTATAAAAGAACGGCATCAAAAATAAGTAATCAAACTTTGGATCGTCTGGTAAGCGAGATCGCGTGCCACAAACTTTGCTGTTTTGATTGTTCTTGGGCGCCCTCACTTGCCATCAGTTGCGTCGTTTGCTCAATTGTCATCCGTTTGAAAAACAGACCTGTTTTCCTATGTGAGTAGGAAGCAAACGAGCTGGCGGTGCACCTAATGTTAAGTGATAAACGCTGCGCATTTACATTTGCAACACTCGTAGTGTTGCAGACGCGTTGCCACCTTTTAGTAAAGTAGACCCCGACTACCTCACTCACTACACGAAAAGCAGAAGTATAACACTTCTACTTCACGCCGGTCTTCTATGCGGTCGTGGTACTTACACGGATGGACATGCCCATTCGTGCAACAGCGATAACTGTTGCGTGGCCCTACCATCGAGAAAAAGTTAGTGTTGTTTATCTTTAATTTCCCTTCGTAAAACGGCCCTGCAACTCTCAGCACTGACTAGGGTTGTACTCATTGTATATAACCGCGGAAGAAAGGGCGGGCTCTTACAGATACGCACGGACTAAAACCCGAACGATGTTTCGTCTAGGGCATATATCAGCAGGACCCTGCACTGGTCATCTAAACAGCCGCTTTTTGGGGGTAACCCTTCCAGGTAAAGCGCGCTGGAACGTAAAGCATCCATACTTGGCTTCCGTTTCGTGGGCCAAGGACTCGCCTGAGTCCGCTGCTGACTATTTACCACCCGGTCCGTCCTTGCCATATAAAATGAGTACCACACATGATAATGAAGAACCTAGTCATATATCAATCTATGCAAAATGTTCGTAAGAACTGGGAGTTAAAAATCGCATGAAAATCCAAGTACTTTTATCTATATATTATGTACGCTGGTGTTTATATAAGAATATATTCATGAATACGATATATGTCCTTATATTACTAGTAAAGATCATCAGCCCATGACAAAATACTGTGTAGTTTACTGCTATGAGAGAAAAATAGTCCTTGTCAAGAGAAATATATTTTTTTGTGCTACTCGAAATGAAACTCCGTTTTAAATGTATATTTTTCTATTGTGTTCCATTATGATATAAATCATAAACATAAAAGATTTTCTTACATTAATAACAAAAACTATATGTTTTTATCAATATAAATCACTTATGAACAAAACCCCACCCGTTAAAATGATAGTAAAAAATGCGAGGCCGTTTTTATTATTTAATTTTTATTATCTTATTTTAAAAATCTCAATTCTGAAATCATTGAGTAGAACAAAATGAGTTAACCTTTTTTTATTACCATTTAACATAATTTATTCTTAATGTTGAAAACAATTATTTCCTTTTAACGAAGTAACTGGATTTTTCCAAAGGATGGTGGTTCCTTCAGAAAATTGTCGAACCAAGCCAATCAGTATTCAAGTGACTGGTATACTATTTGTTAGCCGGAAGTTATTGACGAACTACGTAAAAATAACCGTAAACGCCGTATCATCTTGCATCACGAAAATGCTAGTTCTCACATGGCCAGACAGACAAACGAATTTTTGAATATACAGTCCCGACCTGGTATTTTGTGACTATTCTGCTTCCAAAAATTAAGAAACGATTATTCGGTCAACGATTTTCACCACTATGTCATGAGTTCACCGGAGGAGTCACGGAGGAGTGGCACAAATGTTTTCAAAATTGATTGAACAGTATGAAAAAATGCATTTAAGCAAAGGGAGAATATTTAGAGAAACTTTTAATAGTATTTCTTTCTTATTTATTCTGGTAAACTTTAAAGTGCGTCCCGCGTATATTATGTATTCCATTTTTTTGATTTCATCTACTTCATATTTAATTACGAGTGATGACCAATACAAAGAATTCTTGTCCAAAAATAAGAACGGATAATGTACATTTTGTTATATTTACTTGTACGAAAAACCCATTCTAAAAGGTTTAAAAAGTGCCAGTGGCACTGTTCTAGTGCAGGAAAAGTTTGTGCACCGCATACCATATGGAAAAAGAAACAATAAGATTTAAGCGTAACAACCAACCAATCGGCTTAAGTACAATTCGGGACACGGGTAAGATTCGAAAAAGTTAAAAATGCAACATAAATAAAGTAGATCAAAAGTCGAGATCGCGCGGTGAAGATATGTGACTTCAAATATCACACTCGTTATACATTTTCTATTCGATTCTGAGGCGTTGTTAGCTTGGTGTCCGGGTGCTCGCCTCAAATTCAATTTACTCGAGCAACCTGAGTTCGATCCCCGGTGCCGGTACCAATGAAATTGTTAATTTCAAGTGTTGACTTATTACGTGCTCAGCGGTGAAGGAAAACATTGTGAAGAAACATGCATATTTTCGAAATAATAACAAAAAAAATAATTTCTAAGATCTGTGAAGTTCGCCAATTAGAAACGACGCGTAACTTAAAAAAAAAGGGATGAAAAGTTCAGCTATTATAATTGAACATCGTCACGAAGCTTTTTCTATTAAGTAGTTTCATTCCGTTCATATTTTTTTGGATCTGTCATAATGGATTTTTTGCAAAGCCGCAAATTTTTCCGTCACTCACCTCTAGTGACTTGTAATCCATTACGATGAAAAGATTTTTTTCGTGCTACGAGTATGATAATGTACCTAATTGAAGTTATTTTTTTATTTTTTAGTTAGATTGAGTAACACACGACGCAAGCCATCTGTTCCGTGTCCGTAGATTCGCAGCTAAAAACATTAACCTCGGTAATTTAAGTTATTAATTTTTAACAATAATTAATTCATCACATTATGTTACCTGCTCCAACTGTCCACTTAGAAAATGGATTAATTATTATAAATTATTACATCACAAAGAAGCCTCAATGAATAATGAAAAGAATAGTTTCGTTAAAAAGCAAGGTTTTTATGTGAGAAGGTGTCAAGCGAGCTGACGGTTCATCCCATGTTAAGTGGTTACCGCCGCCCATGAACATTTGCAACACCCTTAGGGTTGCAAATGCTCATGCGGCATTCACCTTATTTTAAAGCGGGCCCAGGCTGCCTCACACATCGGACTAAATGCAGAAGCAATGACACTTCCACTTCACGCCGGTCTTCTGTGAGGTCGTGGTACTTACCCGGATGAACCTTTTTTTTTTTTATTCGAAAAGTTGCCAAACGAGCAGACGGGTCACCTGATGTTAAGTGAATGCCGTCGCCCATGGACATCTGCTACACCCGAGGGTTACAGATGCGTTGACAACCTTTTGAAAATAGGGCTCCGGCTACCTCACTCACCAGACGAAACGCGAAATTATTTGTCATATTTCCACTTTACGCTGGACTTCTGTGAAGTCGTAGTACTTACCCGGACGGACCTGCCCATTCGTGCAACAGCCGAAGCTGTTTTGTGGCCTTTCCTCACAGTGTGAAGTGGTGTGTGTGGCCCTCTTTCCGTGAAACAGTTTGTCGCAGTAGCTATTAATACGATTAATTGTAAATAAACAAAAAACCTTAATAAGTTCCGTACTACGAATCATCGCAGACAGCAGCCCCCGGTGTGCAATTCATGTAATATATCATATCTCCAATACAGGTAGGGTATATATATATATATATATATATATATATATAGTTGTAGGATTAATTATTTAATAGTTGAGTAAAAGATGATTTTTGAACGAAGTATTGTGTGAATGAGAAGGATGGATGACGTAAAAGGGATTGAGGGACTTTTCGCAACGACGCCACGAACGAGTAACGTGTATCTGTGTCTTAAAATGTATTAATTTAAATAAAGATGAAAATAGTAACAATATACTCAAAATAAAGATTTTATTTATCCTACGCCTACATATATGTTATCGTCACCCGATTGGACTTGTCATTTCATAGTACCCATAAATAGTACCCAGTTCAATGGTATTTTATAATATCAGAATTACAATATCCTTAACTATATGTAATGATTAAACTTCCTTACAGAATGAAAACGATAGAATTTTTAAGAAAAGAAATTGTAAGAAAAAAAGGTTGAGGCATACGTAATAACGACATGATATCGATGAATATTTAGGCAGGTTTTACGTTATAACTAACAAAGCAGAAAATTTTAATTCAAAGCAGATTTATTTTTCTAGGATAACTTTAACTGCAACAAGTACTATATTGCGTGTGTACCATAAATTAGTTAAATTATAACGTACACTACATAAGAAATACATTTCCAACAGAGACAAAGCAAAAAACAAATAAGGCTCCAATAATAATACTCTGTTGCTGAGTGTGAATGAAGATTTAATGCATTTCTCAATGCGGTCGACACAATCGTGACGGTATTGTATTATCTTATTAATAAATCGTTCTGTTTCCAGTAGGCAAGTAATACGCATGGGAAGGTGACGTAGATAACGGAGTGGAATTTGCCTGCGGTGTACGGACTTTATTTTTTTAATTTACCATGATGTAACGCCAGTGCGTTCTTTAATATTCTTTTTTTCACTCATTGGTTCGGCCAGCATGAGTTTACGACAGATCGGAATAAAAAAAAACAACGAAAAGACGTTAATACCGGATGACATTTTTATAGATTAGGTATTTGTAAATACAGTTTATTTATTAAAGTTTAGCTGTTAATGATAAATGATGAATAAATCATTAAAAAGGCCAACCAGCCCTGTTCTAATAATTCATTAAAAAAGGTCAATGCTTTCGGAATGTTAAAATTTTCGGTAAAGGCATCCACGCGTGTCACTGTCGAGTGCGTCAGATTTTTTATTTAAAAAGTTAACGACTGCACACATGTATGTTTCTTTAGTGGAACTTTATTAATGTCTTTATGAATTAACTTTGCAAATTCATGAATTTAATGTGTGACAACTTAAACACCAAATTTGCGCAATGTTTTATACTAGGACTTT